ACTAGGCCGGGCGAAGGGGACAGGGTGTGAGCGTAGTCCCAGCTACTTGGGGAGCTGAGGCAGGAGAATGGCTGAACCTGGGAGCGGAGCTTGCAGTGAGCTGAGATCGGCCACTGTACTCCAGCCTGGAGTGACAGAGGAGGACTCCGTCTCAAAAAAAAAAAAAAAAGAAACGCCTCACACCAGAAGGCACAGGGCTTTAGCCCCCTGGCGCTGCAAGACAAATGTTAGGGATGGATAAGACAATTTCACTAACTTCAGGACTCTCCTCTTATCTCACATGTACATACCAGACCAAAAGAGAACAGGTGTGTGCCACCACGCCCAGCTAATTTTTGTATTTTTAGTAGAGACAGGGTTTCACTATGTTGGCCAGGCTGGTCTCGAACTGCTGACCTCTGGTGATCCACTTGCCTCAGCCTCCCAAAGTGTTGGGATTACAGGCGTGAGCCACTGTGCCCAGCCTGTTTTGCTTTTTTTTGAGGCAGAATCTTGCTCTGTTGCCCAGGCTGGAGGGCAGTGGCATAATCATGGCTCACTGCAGCCTTGAACTCCTGGGTTCAAGTGATCCTCCTGCCTTAGCCTTCCAAGTAGCTGGGCATACAAGCATGCCACTAAACCCAGCTAATTTTTGTATTATTATAGTCAGGATCCCACTGGTTGCCCAGGCTAGAAGGTTGTTTTCTGCAATTAAATACTTAACTCTCCTCATGTCTCCCAACTCATGGTCTCCACAACTTCAGACAGTCCTGTCCTTTAAAAAATTTAGAGAAAACAGGCCATGGAACCCCCAATTCATTTTTTTTTCTTGAAAAATGGCCTGTTTCCAGGTTTCCTCACCATAGGAAAAAGCTGCTGCAATTTTACTCTCGTAGGACCAAAGGCTAATCTTATATATTCACTCAAATTCTTTCATGAACCCTTGAAATGAGGGATATACTTCTACTGCAGTGACACACAACTTCTCCCTTGAAGATACCTCCAACATCTAGGACACACATGTTTCCCATCGCACTGGAATCCGTATTTTGGTGGAATGTAGTTCTCAATCATTAAACACTTACGTATTCTACTACCAGGGCAATGAGGATAATTTTCGCCGATGCTCTGCCCTGTCATCCTCTCCACATTACTTTCTTCTCGCTATCCTTTAGGACGTTAATTCTTGCAAAACACCTGGAGAGCCCTTCCATCCTCCTTAGCCCTCTGTATTTCCCACATCACTGCTATTGTCTGTTTTCATGCCTGCCTCCCAACCCAAAGTGAAGGCTTCATAAGGGCAAGGGTTAGTCTTGTTCACTTTCAAATCACTCAAACCTAGCCTGTTACCTAGCACATGGTAGGTACTCATACTCGATATCTGTTGAATGAAGTCTGAATAAGCCATCAACACAAAGATAACACATTGATGTTTTAGAATGGATAAACTGGAAAAGGTGAGATACATAGAAAAGAATAAATACCAAGGACTTGAGAACCACCCACAGGAAATCAGTGGAGGGATATATGTCCATGAAGATAAAAGAATATGGCATGTTGTTACAGATGTCAAGAGAGTTTCATGAAATGTTGGCCAATACTTCATGACGCAAAATAAGCAGGTTACAAAACAGTATCTTTTTTTTTTTGGTATAGGACAGTTGGAATGTAGAAAACAGTATCATCTTAATCAGAGCAAGGAAAAATGCGTATCACATGTCTGATGGTTTATATGCCAGAATGTTAGAGTATTTCTTTCTCAGTAGCAGAATTAAATCTTTTCAACTTGTACAATAAATATGCATTTTTTTATAGGACTTCACTTTATTGCATTTCACAGATATCGCATTTTTTACAAATTGCAAGTTTGTGGCAACCCTGTGTCCAGCAAGTCTATCTGTTCCACTTTTCCAACAGCACATGCTCATTTTGTGTCTGCGTCACATTTTGGTAATTCTCGCAACATCTCAGAATTTTTCATTATTCTATCTGTTATGGTGACCTGTGATCAGTGATTTTTTTTTTTCCTTTTTCTTATTTCAATAGTTCTTGGGGAACAGGTGGTGTATGGCTACATGGATAAGTTCCTTAGTAGTGATTTCTGAGATTTTGGTGTACCCATCACCCGGGGAGTGTACATTGTACCCAATGTGTAGTTTAAAAAAATTTTTTTTTTTTTTTTCGAGACGGAGTCTTGCTCTGTTGCCCAGGCTGGAGTGCAGTGGCACAATTTTGGCTCACTGCAACGTCCGCCTCCTGAGTTCAAGCAATTCTCCTGCCTCAGCCTCCCAAGTAGCTGGGATTACAGGGATGCACCACCATGCCCAGCTAATTTTTTTAGTAGAGATGGGGTCTCACCATGTTGGCCAGGTTGGTCTCAAACTCCTGACCTCGTAATCTGCCTGCCTTGGCCTCCCAAAGTGCTGGGATTCTAGGCATGAGCCACCATGCTCGGCCCCAGTGTGTAGTTTTTTTAATCCCTCACCCGCCTCCCATCCTTTCCCTAGAGTCCCCAAAGTCCACTGTATCATTCTCATGCCTTTGCGTCCTCATAGCTTAGGTCCCACTTATGAGTGAAAACATACGATGTTTGGTTTTCCATTCCTGAGTTACTTCACTTAGAATAATGGTCTCCAAATCCATCCAGGTTGCTGTGAATGTCATTATTTCGTTCCTGGCTGAGTAGTATTCCGTGGTACGTATATATATATACACCACAATTTCTTTATCCACTTGTTGATTGATGGGCAGTTGGGCTGGTTCCACATTTTTGTAATTGTGAATTGTGCCGCTATAAACATGCGTGTGCAGGTATCTTTTTCATATAATGACTTCTTTTCTTCTGGGTAGACGCCCAGTAGTGGGACTGCTGGATCAAACGGTAAATCTACTTTTAGTTCTTTAAGGAATTGCCACAGTTTTCCACAGTGGTTGTACTAGTTTACATTCCCACCAGCAGTGTAAAAGTGTTCCCTTTTCACCACATCCACGCCAACATCTATTATTTTTTGATTATTGCCATTCTTGCAGGAATAAGGTGGTTATTAAAAAAAAAAAAATTGGTGTTTTAAAGTAAAATGATTGGAACAGACAACAGATCATTGGTTTTCAGGGGCTGGAAGTAGGGGACATTGAGTACACAGGGGCATGAAGGATGTTTGGGGGTGACTGAACTGTTCTACATCTTGATTGTGGTAGTGGTTTGATGGTATGTATGCTTTTGTTAAAACTCATGGATCTGTACAATAAAAAGGGTAAATTCTGTTGTATGCAAATTATATCTTAAGAAAAAATTTTTAAGCAATGGAAACTTTCTACTTCCGAATGTATTTACTTTGAGAAACAATGAGACTAACAATTCTTAAGTAATAAAATCATGAACCTCTGCCTGGAACAATGAGCACTTGAGAGAGAAAACTTACCTCATGCTTGCCCATGCACCACTTTTGAGTTAGGAAAGTGCAAGGGGGACACTTCTCCTCACTGTGACAAGAATGATATACTGCAGAAAGAGAAAGGTAACTTTAGGAATACTTTCGAAATAAAGTCACGTAAACCATTATACATCATATAAATGGCATACAGCACGAAACTTTTAAATTCGGAAACTGGGAGTACTTTTAAAAAATGGTCACAGGAAAGTAAAAAGTACCTGACTTTATGTTAAAGTGTTGAAGGACAAGCATGAGTGAGAAAAAGAAACCCAACCAAGGCGGAAGAGACATGCCCAAACAGAAGCAGAGGAGGCAGCTTTCTCATCTCATCTCTTGCAGCACAGCCATATGGTCCATCCAATTTTACTATGTCATTCTTTTGGCCCTACCTTAACAGCAACTGCTCACTTCTGCTCAGATATCTTTGCTATTAATTCCATCTAAAATGCTTCTGCTGATTCCTTCCAATTTCATTACTGCCTATAAGGGGAAGTTCATCAAAACTCACTTCCTACAATGAAGCTTTCCTTGGCTGACCATACACTAGCCTGAGCTCCCTCACACTTCCTGGTGTCTCAGTTCCTACGCAGATGGGCTGCTGCCACATTATTTAGCCCATCTGCATGTGAAGGGTGGTTGTATCATGTGTATTGAACTACCATTCTCCTCCTCGCAGGGAGAACGTAAGAACCTCATGGTCACGGGGTATTTTCGCAGGGAGAACGTAAGAACCTCATGGTCACGGGGTATTTTTATCTTCCTCTGAAGTTCCCTCTGTGTCTGACACCATGTTAGAAATACAGTAAACAGTTAAGAAAATGGAAATGAATGCGGAACAAAATAGGCTAAAACAACACAATTCACAAATGGTGAAGTTCTTACTATGGATCTTGCCCAGCAGGACTTGGGTTTCATCTGTAACACCTGCAAGTAAGTGTAAAGGAGGGAATGGGTGGGGACTGCCCTGAGCATGTACTTCATGCTGGTATGAATGCCACAGGAGGGGCTTTCAAACTATGCTGGAAGGACTATCCTAAGATTCCCAAGGAAGGAGGGAACATTCCACTTAATGAAGAATTTAAGATCTGTTTTACTCCATTAACTTAAAAAATCAAGAGCTGGTTTTCTAGTTTTAAGTCTGAATCATATTGCCAGACTAACTGTGGGTATCAAATCTGGTCCCCTGAATTATTTCAGGTTTGCTTCTGGTATTTGGTAAAATGAAATGATGAGCCCAGTATGGTGATAGAGGAAAGCCAGCAACCAGACTTGACAGATACAGAAATTGAGTGATGTCAAGTGGTTGTTGGCCTGGTATCTGAGCAGTTTATCAGAGAAAAACTGGAAACACTGAAATGTCCAGCAACACAAGACTGACTGAATAAGTTATGGTCCATCCATGTAACAGGACACTCAATTGCCATTAAAAATTTATATTTTAAAAAAATACTGACAAGGCAACAGATTAAAAATAAAATAATAAGAGTGGGAAAAAAGCTAGTTAAAAGCATTCAGTTCAGTAAGATCCCATTTTTATTTTGGGAAAAAAATGCAAACATATATATTTGCACATGGCAAAAGACCCTGAGAAATACATGTAAGGCATAATTCTTAGGAGGTGACATATAATAGATTATTTAATTTCAAACTTTTGACTTTTTTTTTTTTTTTGAGTCAGAGTCTCACTTTGTCACCCAGGCTGGAGTGCAATGGCGCAATCTTGGCTCACTGCAACCTCTGCCTCCTGGGTTCAAGTGATTCTCTTGCCTCAGCCTCCCAAGTAGCTGGGATTATAGGCATCCGCCACCACGCCAGGCTAAGTTTTGTATTTTTAGTAGAGACAGGGTTTTACCATGTTGGCCAGACTAGTCTCAACCTTCTGACCTCAGGTGATCCACCTGCCTCGGCTTCCCAAAGAGAGGCGTGAGTCACGGCACCTGGCATTTTTTACTATATATTTTTTTTTTTGAGACGGAGTCTCACTCTGTTGCCCAGGCTGAAGTACAGTAGCACGATCTTGGCTCACTGCAACCTCTGCCTTCCGGATTCAAGCAATTCTCCTGCCTCAGCCTCCCGAGTAGCTGAGATTACAGGTGCCTGCCACGATGCCTAGCTAACTTTTGTATTTTTAGTAGAAACAGGGTTTCACCATGTTGGCCAGGGTGGTCTCGAACTCCTGACCTCAAGTGACCCGCCCACCTCGGCCTCCCAAAGTGCTAGGATTACAGGCATGAGCCACTGTGCCTGGCCTCTATTTTCTTTTTTGAGACAGAGTATCAGTCTGTCAGCAGGCTGGAGTACAGTGATGTGATCTCGGCTTACTGCAACCTCTGCCCCCGGGGTTCAAGTGATTTTCCTGCCTCAGCCTCCTGAGTAGCTGGGACCACAGGCGCATACCAACACGCCTGGCTAATTTTTGTATTTTTAGTAGAGACGGGGTTTTACCATGTTGGGCAGGATGGTCTCCAACTCTTGACCTCATGATATGCCCCCCTTGGTCTCCCAAAGTGCTGGGATTACAGGCGTGAGCCACTGCGCCTGGCCCTGGCCTCTACTTTCTTAATTTTAATAGGATAAACACATATTGCTTCTATAACAACAAAAAAGTCACTTTTAATTTTGTAAAAAGACGCTAAATTTCAAAATATGCACCAAAGTGGAGACCACAAAGAAAGAAAAGATCTTGAGAGATAAGATCAGCTGGGGTGTCTTCCAACATTTTTAGGTGTCTTTGACATCCTTAGAGTAAACCAATGGAGTAAACCAACTATATCACAATGGATTGGATGCAGAAGTAGATATGATAATTCAGGTGTGATTCCAAGCTGTGGCCCAGATTACAGACCCACCTTCACAGAAGCAGCCCCTGAGCATGGGAGCAAGGGGCAATCATCACAGCATGACTTTAGAGCAGCAAAGACAGTTACACAGCAGGATCCTAAATGACACGGTGTGAGCAGGCTGAAGTGTGAAGACAAGATGCTACTCACCTGGATGGTCACATTCATGGACTCTAGCGCAGGTTTGGGTACATTCAGGGGGCCTAGTACCACAGGGAACTGGAGGGTAAATCACTGACGCACCACAATGGCAGGTTAATTCATCAAAACCTGGTGGAGCAGCAGGTAAAACAAAAGAATCCTTTCTGAGTTTGGGATGTGCACATACATATTTACACACACACACACACATGCACACACACATTTTTGCTTGTAGTTTTAGTGGAGAATTTTTGGAGGTGTTACTTTTTTTAAAGGAGGTTTTTATTTTATTAAACTTTTATTTTATTAAAACTAAGCTGGTGAAAAAGGCATGGACAGATATGAAGTTTCATTTACTACTGTGACCCTGACAGCTTCCCAATACTTTTCCCAACATATTTCTAGACAGGAGATTATATTAATGACTGAGTTTTTAATATTATAACAGGAAAATTATCAACATTTCAAAGATCACATAAGAATTATTTTCCAAATGATCAATGTGGGCTGTTATAAAATCATGCACGGGGCCGGGCGCAGTGGCTCACGCCTATAATCTCAGCACTCTGGGAGGCCGAGGTGGGCGGATCACGAGGTCAGGAGATTGAGACCATCCTGGCTAACACGGCGAAACCTTGTCTCTACTAAAAATACAAAAAATTAGCCGGGTGCGGTGGTGGGTGCCTGTAGTCCCAGCTGCTGGGGAAGCTGAGGCAGGAGAATGGTGTGAACCCGAGAGGCGGAGCTTGCAGTGAGCCAAGATCATGCCACTGCACTCCAGCCTGGGTGACACAGCAAGACTCTGTCTCAAAAAAATAAAATAAAATAAAATAAAATAAAATAAAATAAAATAATGCACGGGTAAAAAGATCCATTCAAAGTATAAGAAAGTCCAATAAATTTTAGTGACAGAGAACAAAAACACTGAGACAAGTCCTTTCTAAAATGAAGTTGAATTTTGGTGTAATTTCAAAGAATATCAGTAATTATTTGAAAACATCTTTAAAATACTCTTCCCTTCTCCTGTGTAAGGTTATCTGTGTAAGGATGGATTTTTTTCATATACCTCAACTATATCATGATGGATTGGATGCAGAAGTAGATGTGAGAATTCAGCTATCTTCTATTAAACCAAGTATCCACCATTCTATATTTTTGAAAAGTTATTTTAAAAATTTTTGTGATTACATGCAATGAATATATTATTATTCTTAAATATACTAATCAATTATTTTTTAAATTTCTCAGTTTTAATTTCTAATACAGTAGATACAGATAAATACGACTCACATAAAAAGAGCTCTTTAGGATACTTTTTAGTAATGTAAATGAGCCCTACTACAAAAAAGTTTGCAAACTGCTGCTAATAATATAGAGAAAGAAGATTGTTGAGGACAGAACCTAGGTAAATAACATACATGAGGCAGGTAGCAGAGAAGGAATCTATCAACGAACTAGGCCCCATCTGAGGATCACTGCTCATATCACAAGTTTTCAGGGACTACAATACAGCATTAGAAGTAACTTTAAAGAAAGTCTCAACATATTGGAAATACGAAGGCTTAGTTCAAGAATCCATACCATTCTAAGTAAATCAATCTCTCAAAGTATATTATGTCTGAATTTCTAAAAAACTCTTCTAATAAACTATATAATAAAGACACTCACTGGCTTGCCAGCATGTCTGGCAGTTTCCACGATGACAAGGTTCTTCACACCTATGAAGGCCACAACGGAGTTTCCTCCCACAAATCAAAGGACACTTGTGCTCCTTATCCTGGGAAGAGAGATTTGTATTTGTTCATAAAATGGTCTTCATTTTATATTTTCCATAAATAACAACAAGATTAATAAAAACAAAGCTCTACACATTTATGGATAAAATGATGTCTGGAAATACCTTCAAAATAGCCACAAAAGGGAGAGTAGGTGGGGATGAAGATAAAACAAAATTCGTCACGAGGTGATCAATACTAAAGCTGGATGTTGTGTATATGGGACTCTCTATACTAGTCTCTCTGCTTCTGCATATATTTGAGATATATATATATATATATATTTTTTTTTTTTTTGAGATGGAGTCTCGCTCTGTCACCCTGGCTGGAGAGCAGTGGTGCGATCTTGGCTCACTGCAAGCTCTGCCTCCCAGGTTCACACCATTCTCCTGCCTCAGCCTCCTGAGTAGCTGGGACTACAGGCGCTCGCCACGATGCCTGGTTAATTTTTTTGTATTTTTAGTAGAGACAGGGTTTCACCGTGTTAGCCAGGATGGTCTCGATCTCCTGACCTCATGATCCGCCCACCTTGGCCTCCCAAAGTGCTGGGATTACAGGCGTGAGCCAGTTTGAAATTTTAAAAAAATATATTTTATTTTTACATTGTGTGTGTGTCTTTGTGTGAGAGAGCCAGGGTCTCACTCTGTTGCCCAGGCTGGAGTGTGGTGGTGCGATCTCGGCTCACTGCAACCTCCACCTCCCGGGTTCAAGCAATTCTCCTACCTCAGCTTCCTGAGTAGCTGGGATTACAGGTGCCCACCACAATGTCCAGGTAAGTTTTAAATTTTTAGTAGAGACAGGGTTTCACCATGTTGGCCAGTCTGGTCTGGAACTCCTGACCTCAAGTGATCTGCCTGCCTCGGCCTCCCAAAGTGCTGGGATTACAGGCATGAGCCACCACGTCCAGCCTTATTTTTACATTTAAATCTATTTATTTATTTAGAGACCTGGTTATGAGATGGGCATTTTTGTAGTTTTGGTAGAGATGGGGTTTTACCATGTTGCCAAGGCTGACCTTGAATTCCTTGGATTAAGTGAGATCCACCCACCTCAGCCTCCAAAAGTGGAATTACAGGTGTGAGCCACCATGCCTGGCTGTAAATTTTTTTACAAGAAGAGGAAGTCTTTAAGCCTTCTAACACTAGTTTATAATACTTGCACAATTCATCATTCTTCACTTCAATATATAAATTTTAAAAATAATTATGTATGTTATATACATACATACACATGTATTACCTTGCTATTGGTACTGTGTTACCTTGTTTATGTACATACACACTGATACAGTTTGGCTGTGTCTCCAACCAAATCTTATCTTGAATTCCCACATGTTGTGGGAAGGACCTGGTAGGAGTTAACTAAATCATGGTGGGGGAAGGTCTTTCCCATGCTGTTCTCATGATAGTGAATAAGTCTCCTGAGATCTGATGGCTTTATAAGGCCGAGTTTCCCTGCATAAGCTCTCTCTCTGCCTGTTGCCATCCATATTAAGGCGTGACTTGCTCTTCCTTGTCTCTCACCATGATTATGAAGCCTCCCCAGCCACTTGGAACTGTAAGCCCATTAAACCTCTTTCTTTTGTAACTTGCCCAGTCTCGGGTATGTCTTTATCAGCAGTGTGAAAACAGACTAATATAGTAAACTGGTACCAGTAGAGTGGGGTGCTGCTGAAAAGATACCCGAAAATGTGGAAGTGACTTTGGAACTGGGTAACAGGCAGATGATGGAACAGTTTGGAGGGCTCAGAAGAAGACAGGAGAATGTGGGAAAGTTTGGAACTTCTTAGAGACTTGCTGAATGGCTTTGCCCAAAATGCTGATAATGATATGGACAATAATGTCCAGGCTGAGGTGGTCTCAGATGGAGATGAGGAACTTGTTGGGAGTTGGAGCAAAGGTGACTCTTGTTGTTTTATCAAAGAGAGTGCCAACATTTTGCCCCCGCCCTAGAGATCTGTGGAACTTTGAACTTGAGAAAGATGATTAAGGGTATCTGGTGGAAGAACTTTCTAAGTAGCAAAGCATTTAAGAGGTGATTTGGGTGCTGTTAAAGGCATTCAGTTTTAAAAGTGAAACAAAGTATAAAAGTTTGGAAAATTTGCAGCCTGCCAATGTGACAGAAAATCCTATTTTCTGAGAAGAAATTCAAGCTGACTGCAGAAATTTGCATAAGTAATGAGGAGCCAAATGTAAAACCCCAAGACAATAGGGAAAATGTCCCCAAAGCATGCCAGAGGTCTTCATGGCAGCCCCTCCCCTGACAGGCCTGGAGGCTCAGGAGGAAAAAATGGTTTTGTGGGCCGGCCCTAGGGTCCCTCTGCTGTATGCAGCCTAGGGACTTGGTGCCCTGCATCCCAGCCACTCCAGCTGTGGCTGAAAGGGCCCAACACAGAGCTTGGGCCATGGCTTCAGAGTGCAAGCACCAAGACTTGGCAGCTTCCATGTAGTGTTGCGCCTGTGGGTGCACAGAAATCAACAACTGACGCTGGAAACCTCTGCCTAGGTTTCAGAAGATGGATGGAAACACCTGGATGTCCAGGCAGAAGTTTGCTACAGGGGTGGGGCTGTCACAGAGAACCTCTGCTAGGGCAGTGCCGAAGAGAAATGTGGGGTTGCAGCCCCCACACGGAGTCCCTACTGGGGTACCAGCTAGTGGAGCTGTTAGAAGAGGGTCACTGTCCTCCAGACCCTAGAATGGGAGATCCACTGACAGCTTGCACTGTGTGCCTGGAAAAGTCACAGACACTCAACACCAGCCTGTGAAAGCAGCTGGGAGGGGGCTGTATGCTGCAAAGCCACATGGGCGGAGCCGTCCAAGACCATGGGAACCCACTTCTTGCATCAGCGTGACCTAGATGTAAGACATGGAGTCAAAGGAGAGCATTTTGTAGCTTTAAGATTTGACTGCCTGGCCGGGCGCAGTGGCTCACGCCTGTAATCCCAGCACTTTGCGAGGCCGAGGCAGGTGGATTACGAGGTCAGGAGATCAAGACCATCCTAAGATGGTGAAACCCCGTCTCTACTAAAAATACAAAAAAATTAGCTGGGTGTGGTGGCGGGCGCCTGCAGTCCCAGCTGCTCGGGAGGCTGAGGCAGGAGAATGGTGTGAGCCTGGGAGGCAGAGCTTGCAGTAAGCGGAGATCGCGGAGAGAGCGAGACTCCATCTCAAAAAAAAAAAACAAAAGATTTGACTGCCCCACTGAATTTCAGACTTGCATGGGGCCTGTACCCCTTTGTTTTGGCCAACTTCTCCCATTTGGAATGGCTGTATATACCCAATGCCTGTACCCCTATTGTACCTAGGAAGTAACTAATTTGCTTTTGAATTTACGGGCTCACAGGCAAAGCGACTTGCCTTGTCTTGGATGAGACTTTGGACTGTAGACTTTTGAGTTAATGCTGAAATGGGTTAAGACTTTGGGGGACTGTTGGAAAGGCATGATTGGTTTTGAAATGTGAGGACATGAAATTTGGGAGGGGCCAGGGGCAGAATGATATAGTTTGGCTGTGTCCCCACCCAAATCTCATCTTGACTTCCAATATGTTGTGGGAGGGACCTGGTGGTAGGTAACTGAATCATGGGGGCAGGTCTTTCTCGTGCTGTTCTCGTGATAGTGAATACGTCTCATGAGATTTGATGGCTTTATAAGGCCAAGTTTCCTGGACAAACTCTATTTCTCTGCCTGCTGCTATCCATGTGAGATGTGATTTGCTTCTCCTTGCCTTCCACCATGATTGTGAGGCCTCCCCAGCCACTTGGAACTGTAGATCCATTAACCCTCTTTCTTTTGTAATTTGCCTAGTCTTGGGTATGTCTTTATTGGCAGTGTGAAAATGGACTAATACATACATATACATACACGTTTATACATACATGTTATCATGTCATATATTACATATATGTTATCTTGGTTTTTTAAATATATAAAAGAGTATATTAGATAACAGAGTACGAATAGCCAGCTAGTGCTTTATTTAGCTCCATAAAAGCAAATATTTTAAATAAACATTTTATTTTTAAAAATCTTTTTTAAAAATGTCATAATAATTTTTCCTACTGACCTGACCTAAGCAGTACATGAAACCTGAAGCCCAAGTTGCTAAGTCCAGTCTGTGTTGGGACAACACACAATCTCCTGCAGAAGACTGTGTGCTCATCTAGGGGTCTTGGGCTCTGGGGTATGAGACATTCTCTTTCCTCTTTCTCTTCCTCTGTGTTGCTACTAGATGCCACTGGCTGACTTCTTGACCTGGGTGAGACTAAAAAGGCCCAGTCTGTCTCTTTGTAGAGAGGTTATGGGGACTATGAGAGCTCTTTGACTGCTGCTTAGGGGCCCATACCAATGACTTTTAAATCTCGGCTGCATTCTCCACATGGCTCAGGCTTCCAGAAGCCCAGCCCCTGGATGAATGGAATCTGATTATGCCTAATAAGTCCACTTACCACACAGCATATCTCATTACATTTATGCCGTCCACACAACCGCTTCTTGTTACACCGCTTGTCACACATAAATGTAGCATCTGCTGTGGCCAATTAAAAAGAAAAAAGAAAAACAGGCAAAGGATATGAACATTCATTCCACAAATATTTGAGTGACTATAAGCTAAAAGATTACAATAGTAATAATACAATTGTAATAATGTAAATGCAGTTTTTTTTTGTTTTTTTTTTTTTTTTGAGATGGAGTCTCTCTCTGTTGCCCAGGCTGGAGTGCCGTGGCATGATCTTGGCTCACCACAATGTCTGCCTCTTGGGTTCAAGTGATTCTTGTGCCTCAACCTCCCAAGTAGCTGGGCTTACAGGTGCCCGCCACCACAGCCGGCTAATTTTTGCATTTTTAGTAGAAGCAGGGCTTCACCATGTTGTCCAAGCTGGTCTTGAACTCCTGATCTCAGGTGATCCGCCTCCCATGGCCTCTCAAAGTGCTGAGATTAAAGGAATGCGCCACTGTGCCTGGCCTTTTTGCTTTCTTTTTTTTTCTTTTTTTTTTTTTTTTTGAGATAGAGTCTCACTCTGTTGCCCAGGCTGGAGCGCAGTGGAGCAATCTTGGTTCACAGCAACCTCCACCTCCCAGGTGCAAGCGATTCTCCCACCTCAGACTCCCGAATAGCTGGGATTACAGGTGTGTGCCACCACGCCCGGCTAATTTTTGTATTTTTATAGTAGAGACCGGGTTTCGCCATGTTGGCCAGGCTGGTCTCCAACTCCTGACCTTAGGTGATCCACCTGCCTTGGCCTCCCAAAGTGTTGGGATTCCAGGTGTCAGCCACCATGCCAGGCTGTCAGTTTTTTTTTTTTTTTTTAAAGAGACAGGATGTCTTTCTGTCACCCAGGCTGGAGTGCAGTGGCAATAACATAGCTCACTGTAACCTCGAATTCCTGGGCTCAAATGAGCCTCCCATCTCGGCCTTCCAAATGTTGGGGTTACAGGTGTAAGCCACTCTGCCCAGCTGAAAATGCATATTAAAATATCAATTTTCACCTTCAAAACTGTCTAAAAAAAAATAGCAATGGTAGGGTTTAAGATGTGGAGAAAAAGGCACACTCATCTTGGTAGATGGGTGTACAAACTTTTGCAGTCCATGGGGGACTGATTCCAGGACCTCCCTTGGATATCAAAATTCACAGATATTCAAGTCTCTTATACAAAATGGTATAATATTTGCATATAACCTATGCACACTCTTCTTTATACTTCAAATCTTCTCTAGATTACTTATAACACCAAATACAATGTAAATGCTATCTAGATAGTTGTTTAGAAAATGATGATGAGAAAAAATTTTGTACATGTTCAGTACAGATGTAATTTGTTTACAAATTTGTCTTTGATTATTTTCAATCTATGGTTGGTTGAATCCATGGATATGGAACCCGTGGATGTGTAAGGCTGGCTGCATGTATGTTTCTATCAAAAATTTAAGTGTGGTTGGGCATGGTGGTTCCTGCCTGTAATCCTAGCACTTTGGGAGGCTGAGCCAGGAGGACTGCTCCAGCCCAGGAATTTAAGACCAGCCTGGGCAACACAATGAGACCCTGTCTCTACAAAAACTTGCTCACTGCAACCTCCGCCTCCTGGGTTTAAGCGATTCTCTTGCCTCAGCCTCCCGAGTAGCTGGGATTACAGGTGCCCACCACCATGCTGGCTAATTTTTTGTAGTTTTAGTAGAGACGGGGTTCCACCTTCTTGGCCAGGCTAATCTCAAACTCCTGATCTCAAGTGATCTGCCCGCCTTGGCCTCCCAAAGTGCTGGGATTACAGGTTTGAGCCATCACACCCAGTCCTGCAAAAACTTTTAAAAATTAAGTTTTTAAAACTTAATTAAAAGTTAATTAAGCCATGGGCATGGTGGCGCATGCCTGTGGTCCCAGCTATTTGGGAGGCTGGTGTGAAAGGACCACTGGAGCCCAGGAGATCAAGGTTGTAGTGAGCTGTGATCTGCCACTACACTCCAGTCTAGGCGACAGAGAGAGAACTTGTCTCAAACAATAAATATATTTTAAAAACCAACAATGAAATATCAGAGACATCATATCATGTGGTAGTGATATATCACTTCACTAGGATGGCTATGATTTTAAGAACCCCAAAAATGGCCGGGTGTGGTGGCTCAAGCCTGTAATCCCAGCACTCTGAGAGGCTGAGGCGGGTGGATCATGAGGTTAGGAGTTCGAGACCAGCCTGACCAACATGGTAAAACCCCATCTCTACTAAAAATACAAAAATTAGCCAGGCACGGTGGTGGGCACCTGTAATCCCAGCTACTCGAGAGGCTGAGGCAGCTTAATCACTTGAACCTGGGAGGCGGAGTTTGCAGTGAGCCGAGACTACACTACAGCACTCCAAGCCTGGGCAACAGAGTGAGACCCCATCTCAAAAAAACAAAAACAAAAACAAAAAAACTCAGAAAATAACAAGTATTGACAAGGATGTGGAGAAAACAAAACCCTCATACATTGCTGGTAGGAATATAAAATGGTGCAGTCACTGTTGAAAACAGAATGGCAGTTTTTCAAAAAAAGTAAACACAAGATTACCATCGGATCCAGCAATTCTACTCCTAGGTATATACCCCAAAGAAATGAAAATAGGTATTCAAACAAAAACACATATACAAATGTTCATAACAGCACTATTTACAATGGCCAAAAAGTTGAAACATGCTAAGTGAAAGAAGTGGGGCACATAAGATTATATATTGTGACTCCATTTAGATGAAGTATAGTAAATCCATACAGATAGAAAGCAGATTAGTGGTTACCCGGGTGAGGGCTGAGTGGGGAGTAAATGCTTAGTTAATACACGGTTTCCTTTCAGGGTGATGAAAATGTTTTTCCCCAGCACTCTGGGAGGCCAACATGGGAGGATCACTTGAGGCCAACCATTCAAGACCAGCCTGATCAACATAGTGAGAACCTGTCTCTACATATTTTTAAAATAAAATTTTAAAAAAGGCTGGGCACAGTGGCTCATGCCTGTAATCTGAACACTTTGGGAGGCCGAGGCAGGCAGATTACGTGAGGCCAGGAGTTTGAGACCAGCCTGGGCAACATGATGAAATCCCATCTCTACTAAAAATACAAAAAAAGTAGCCTGGTATGGTGGCAGGTGCTTGTAATCCCAGCTACTCAGGAGGCTAAGACAGGAGAATCGCTTGAACCCAGGGGGCGGAGGTTGCAGTGAGCCAAGATCGCGCCACTGCACTTCAGCCTGGGCAACAAGAGCAAAACTATGTCTCAAAAAAAAAAAAAAAAAAGGAAGATAAAATAAAATAAAGGAAAAGAAAAAGAAAAAAGTAAGATAGAGAAAATGTTTTGGAACTAGATTGTGAAAGGACTAAGTGCCACTGAACTGTACATTTAAAGTGGTTAATTATATGTTATGTGAATTTCAACTAAAAAAACGTGGGCTAAACACTGAAGCATTTATGGGCGAAATGATATTTGAGATTTGTTTTCAAAGTACTCCAGCATAAATAAAATGTTGGGAAGGGGGATGGATGAAAACAAGAGAAGCAAAATGTTGACAACTGATGATGACAAGTCATAGGTATGTGGGGATTCATTATACCACTTTCACATATGGCTGAAATTTTGCATCGTAAAGTTATAAAAAGTGGGACAGGACGGTTCCTGCTTATTAGTAATGGGGAAAAACTGGAGACAATCTAAATGACCACCAAAAGGGCCATGGTGCACTATGACATGGTAGACCCATATACAGAATACTCTGCAAGAGCAAGAGTTATGCATACTGACATGGAAATATGTCTTTGAGATGTTAGTGAGGGAAAATAAACTGCAGACAGTATCTTTAGCATGAACCTAAATCTAGGGGAAAAAACAAAACTATGCTGGCATGTTTATACATCTGTATGAATAGGCAAAAAGACCTGGAACCCTATCTGACAAACTACTATCAGAGGGTAAATTTTCACCTTTTGCTTTATATTCTTTTTTTCTTTAAACTTCATAAGTGTATTAATTTTGTAATGTTTTCAAATTATGCTTTTATTATTTTGTTTTATTGTTTCAGAGATAGGGTCTCGCTCTGTCACCCAGGCTAGAGTGCAATGGCACAATCACAGCTCACTGCAACCTCAAACTCCTGGACTCAAGCAATCCTCTGCCTCAGCCTCCCAAGTATCTAGGACTACAGGCACGTGCCACTATGGCTGGCTAACTTTTAAAATTTTTTTGCAGAGACAGCGTATTGCCCAGGCTGGTCTTGAACTCCTGGCTTTAAGTGATCCCCCAGCCCTGGCCTCCCAAAGCATAAGGATTCAGATGTGAGCCACTGCATCTGGCCCAAATTATGTTTTTCTTGTTTGTTTTTTGATACAGAGTCTCTGTTACCCAGGCTGGAGTGCAATGGCTTGATCTCAGTTCACTGCAACCTCTGTCTCCTGAGTTCAAGTGATTCTCCTGCTTCAGCCTCCTCAGTAGCTGGGATTACAGATGTGCGCCACCACAACTGGCTGATTTTTGTATTTTTAGTAAAGATGAGGTTTCACCATGTTGGCTAGGCTGGCCTTGAACTCCTGACCTCAGGTGATCCACTCACCATGGCCTCCCAAAGTGCTGGGATTACAGGCATGAGCCACCATGCCTGGACCCAAATTATGTTTTTAATAACCAAACTTTTTTTCCTTGATACAGATGGCACACTGAACCAAAAGTTTAAATACGGTTTTGAGGCAGATATCGCTGGGTACCTCCCAGTCACTCTCCTCTTTCAGGCAAAGACAGCCTTAATTTTGTTCAGAAATTGGAGGCCAGCATGCTCCTCAGTTCCAGGGGTGGATGTTGTTTAGCTTTACCCATCAGGGTAATTCCGTTCACTTTGCTAGTGACAGGTTTAGGTAGAAGCATTGGACACAAAGTGTACTGAGAACCTTTCAGGACTGTTTTCCTTGCTCTTACATAGGAAGAGAAGATCAACACTCTCCTCATGGATTTTGTTAAGATGTTGGGCAGAGACCCAACGTGTGAAGTTGCAGTAGCTGACATACCCACAAGGAGAAAATCAAGAAAACCACAGAGAAGCTGAATTGAAGTCCTGGAAATCACTGAGCTTAAAATTAACCAATCTCAGACTTGTTCTGCCTCCAGACTTCCTATTAGGTGTGACAGTAAATACACTTATCGTAAAAGTCACTTTTTCTTGGGTTTGGATACCTGCATCCAGAAGCTTCCTAACCGATACAGCTAGCTTTCTGACTACAATAAGACCTTTTATTTTGCATATCCTTATCTTCCATCACTTTTCCAAAAAGGTTTTAAAGTGGTTTCAATGAGAGTATGTGATGGTCATCAAAACAGGAATTGAGGCCGGGTGCGGTGACTCATGCCTGTAGTCCCAGAACTTTGTGAGGCTGAGGCAGGTGGATCACTTGAGGTCAGGAGTTAGAGATCAGCCTGGTCAACATGGTGAAACCCCGTCTCTACCAAAAATACAAAAATCAGCCAGGTGTAGTGGTGCGCACCTATAATCCCAGCTACTTGGGAGGTTGAGGCAGGAGAATCGCTTGAACCTGGGAGGTTGAGGTTGCAGTGAGCCGAGATCGCGCCACTGCGCTCTGGCCTGGGCAACAAGTGAGGCTCCGTCTCAAAAGAAAAAAGAAAAAAAAGTTCAAACGATTTTACAGTGAACATCCATATGCCCATATCTAGATTCTACCATTAACATACTTTTTCATATATATATATCCATTCTTCAAGCTACCCACTAATTTTCTTTTTTAATGCATTTCAAAGCAAGCTGTAGACATGAGTATACTTAGCTTAAATTTTTCAGCATTTCATCAACAGAATTCAATTTATAATTTTTTCCTATTGAGGTGAAAGTTACACACAAATCTTAAGCAGTCCTTTGCTGAATTTCGACAAATACATAACCCAACTCCCTACCAAAGTGAAGATACCCGCATCCCAAAAATTCCCTCATGCCCCACCCCAGTCATACCTTCACTTTTGAGACTGGTACATGGAAGCTCCTATGGAAAAAGAAAAAGAAACGGTAACTACTTTAGGAATAATTAAAACAATACAACTATAATATAATGCCAAAGGTAACAAGAATATCCCAAATATCCCGTACTTCTCTGATAGTCACTTATTCACCAACTTCACTTGCCATGCCTGGAGTGAGCCTAATCCCTATATGAATGAGCTTTACTCGCGAGAGGACTCCAGGCTTACAGACTTTTCATGAAAATACAATTCTAACAATCTTTGTGGTCTGGTCTCCAAATTCACAGTAGACTAACAATTATAAAATCTGAATAGAAAGAGGGGCTGCTAAGGGTATGCAAAGGAAAGAGAAGTCATTACCTAACAAGGGTACAGACAAAAAAAGCCATAAAAAGCAGACATAAGAATTGAAAACAGGTAACAATCTGTACCATGCAGGGACAAACGGCTCTACACACTTCAGAGCACACCTGACAATACCACCAAACTATAGCAAAGTGAAATAAAGCAGATCTTTGGTTTGGCCTCTGAAGTTTTATTACTGTGGCTTCCATTACATATGAGTGGTCTAAAAGGTCTATCATGTAATTTTGCTGAGGCATGATCCTAAAAAACGTGGGTAGCGACGCTAGTATGTGGGAAACAAGTCAGTCGCTTGGGGTAGAATGAGTCTGGCTAGCTGCCTGGTTTCTACATCTGATTTTGGCTTTGATGTCATTTACAGGTTGCCATGTACTCAGAAATGACAGAAATGAGAAAAATGACTTTAAAAGTCCCCTCCTAGTAAAAATTATCCTGGGGGAAAAAAAAAAAAAGCAGCTACTGGAGTTGATAACAGATGTGAAGAGGTCTAAGTAATAAAAGGTTCTTGGCTGGAAAATATACATTTCAGATAAAAAAAATGAGGTGCCTGGGACTGGTGATATGAAAAAGTTCCCTATATGCTCTCTACAGATATAAAGCAAAAGTGATTTCATGAGCATTAACTCATGAAACTGGGTTAACGCTCCCATCAGTGAACATTGGATTATACAGAAGAAATGATATGCAGGAGAGGTTATCTCCAAATGTCAGGAAAGGCAGAACTCCCATAAACTCCTACACATGAATTACCATAAAGACTTAAATATAGCATGCTTTATTAAGACATAGTAAGACACAGCATACATTTATCAGAGGCCCACCGAAGTGATGAAATGAAAACAACCTTTGAAGTTTTAAGAAATAAGTTTTATTTATCTAGAAAACTCACTTCTGTGAAAAAGCCCATTCCATTACAAAAACCATGTCATGAAAAATCCATATTCATGAAAAATCTAGTTAAATAATGAGGTGATAATTATCAGCTTTTTTTTTTTTTTTTTTTTTTTGAGACAGAGTCTCACTCTGTCACCCAGGCTGGAGTGTAGTGGTGCAATCTTGGTTCACTGCAAGCTCCGCCTCCTGGGTTCACATCATTCTCCTGCCTCAGGAGTAGCTGGGACTATAGGCGCCCGCCACTGTGCCCGGTTAATTTTTTGTATTTTTAGTAGAGACGGGGTTTCACCATGGTCTCGATCTCCTGACCTCGTGATCTGCCCGCCTCAGCCTCCCAAAGCGCTGGGATTACAGGCATAAGCCACCGTGCCCAGCCAATTATCAGCTTTTTGAAGAGATTGTTTTACTTTGTCAAACAGGTTTAGCAGTTTGTATAGACAGTGAGCTCCTCCTGTAATTTAAGGACTTTTACTTGCAAAAATTCAGTTTACACACAGCTTTTCAAGAATACACTCATTGCCATGGAGTCTGCTATTAGAGGGAGTGAGGACAAAGAGTCAATGAGAAGCAAGAAAACGTAGAGATAGAGAGAGGGATTGTGGGAGAATGAAGAAAACTGACAGCAACCACTTCCAGCTTGTATGTCCCAACCCTGCTTATAATTTTCAGTCACAAAGATCACGAAGAGCATCTCTGGGCATTACTAAATTTATGATTGCCAAATCACAGCATCTCACAGACTTTAATATTATATTTGCAAAGTACAAAGTGGTCCCATACCTGACATTCAAAATGCCTCTACTATCCCATGTATATTGTAATTTCTTTCAGGAAAAAAACCCACACATGATTACACAACTTTTGTAACATGTAAATTACACTAATTTTCCCTTTTTTTCTGAAGCTTTCCGATTAAACTAGCTTCCCATTTATGGACTATATCCTCAGAATTATCTGCAAGTCAGATGCTGCCAGACCCTGCATTGTGTTTAACGGAACCAACGGTTCAGAATTCTGTCTCCACCCTGGCTTGTACTCTACTGGGACAAACATTGATAGACACTGAAATGACCAGGTAGGTCAAAGAGCAGGATAAATCAACACTCAGTGTGTTCTCCAAGTTGAATCACCCGAAGACTTTTGATAACATGAAGTCTGATAAAAACTATCCAAGGCAGGCTGGACGCAGTGGCTCACATCTGCAATCCCAGCATTTTGGGAGGCTGAGGTGGTAGATTACTTGAGGTCAGGAGTTCAAGACCAGTCTGGTCAACATGGTGAAACCCCATCTCTACTAAAAATACAAAAATTAGCCACGTGTGGTGGCGTGCACCTGTAATCCCAGCATTTTGGGAGGCTGAGGCAGGAGGATGACTTGAGGTCAGGAGTTTGAGACCAGCCTGACCAACATGGCAAAACCCCGTCTCTACTAAAAATACAAAAATTAGCTGGGTATGGTGGAGTGCACCTGTAATTCCAACTCCTCCAGAGGCTAAGGCATAAGAATCACTCGAACCTGGGAGGTGGAGGCTGCAGTGAGCCGAGACTGCGCCTTTGTACTCCATCCTGGGTGATGGAGTGAGACTGTGTCTCAAAATAAATAAATAAACAAAATTTTAAAAAAAGAAAAATAAAAACTATCCAGGCTTTCACCAGAAAGTAGAAACTGACAAAACAGTTGTACAAAACAGTTGTACAGTGAAGAATTAAACCTTACTCAAAGAGAGTCTGGCCTTTGCACTTGGCTTCTGAGAGGTAATCTCTAAGCCTAGCGGAATGCCATGTCTGATAGAAGTGTCATTGTTTGCCTGGAGTCTTGAGTCACTGGATAGTCCAATTATGTGATTTAGGAGCAGGCTGGCCACACTGGACAGTTTTAGGGCAGGGGCTTTGGGTCACATGGTATCAGTAGACCTCTGGAGAGACTGGAGACTGAGATTAGCTACATGGGCAGTCAACTATGACTGCACAATAGAGCACCAATAAAAACTGAACACACAAGCTTGGGTGAACTTTCCTGGTTGGCAATACTCCACGTACGCTGTCACACACTGACGCAGAGAGAGTAATACTTTCCTGACTCCACAGGGAAAGGACAAATGAAGTTCCACCTTTGGTACTTTTTTGGACTCTGCTCTACATACTTCTTCCCTTGGCTGATTTAATTTGTATCCTTTTCCTTGTAATAAAACTGTAACCTCCTTGTAGTAAACCTCTAACCATAAGTGTAACCATCAGCAAGTTCAGTGAGTCCTTTTTATCAAATTATCAAGCCTTTCAAGTGGTCTTAGGGACCACTGAACTTTCAATTGGTATCATAAGTTGGTATCACAAGTGGGTGGTCACATGGACTGTTTCCTCTAACTTCTTAGTTGGCTGACTCTTTGCAACAGTGCTATTGTTCCTCTTTTCAGGCTATCATACCTGTATTTGGTAGAGTGATCTATTTGCCTTATCCCACTATTGGCCTCTGGACCTTGAGTGCCACAACCACTTCCCCTACCTATCCTACTGAGGTTATTTTGATTCCTCCCCTCCCATAACCACCATTTTAAAGAAAACATTGATGGCAACAACTCGAGCATTGTTTAGGATTTACCTTTGTTCTGAAAGAGCATCTGCAGGAAATAACTGATGTGCGAGAGCATGGTCCACAGTCTCCTTCATGGCAGAGCTTTTCACAGGTATGAATGAAATCTTTAATAAAAACAAAAAGAGCTGGAAATGAAAATTGCAACTACTCATTTCCATACTCCCAAATTTGCTAGCCACACTGGTCTTCCCCTCCATGCCCTGCAACTCCAGAATCAGAGTTCAGGGAAGGATGCAGTCAATGCTTCTTCCCTATCTTCCGTTCATCTGGCAGACTGGGCCTTTTCTGACAATTTCAGGGCCTGGCATTAGATACTGGAATATGCTTTGAAGTACACGATGTTTTCCCTAAGTCAAAAAAAGGCCAGGTGTGGTGGCTCATGCCTATAATTCCACCACTTTGAGAGGCCGAGGTGGGAGGATCGCTTGACCCCAGGAGTTCGAGATCAGCCTAGGAACATGGTGAAACCCTGTGACTACCAAAAAAAAAAAAAGCACAAAAACAAGAAATTTGCCAGAGGTGGTGATACAGGCCTACAGTCCCAGCTACTCTGGAGTCTAAGGTGGGAGAATCTCCTGAGCACAGGAGGTTGAGGCTGCAGTGAATTGTGATCACACTACTGCACTCCAGTCTAGGTGACAGAGCAAAATCCTGTTTCAAAACAAAACAAAAATGAAGAATAAATCTTCTTTTTCCTCAGGCCCCATATCTCCAGTGTAGACTTGAATCTCCTTAAAATTGTAGCCATGGATGACTTTAGTGGAATGCTCTCGACTCTGAAAGTCATCTGGGGATTATAAATAATCAGAAGCCATGATCCACAGTCTCACTGACTTGAGCTCTGTGAATATCTGGTGGTGCCTGCATCCATGACTAGGTTTAAGACAAGTCCTGTTTCCAGGACCCTATGGGGATCACCTGGAGTCTCTTACGGCTACTGTTTACATGGTGTACTTTTTCTATTCTTTAACTTTCAGCCTCATTGTATCTTTGACTATAAAGATTGTCTCCAGGGCCTGGTGTGGTGGCTCACGCCTGTAATCACAGCACTTTGGGAGGTCAAGGCGGGCAGATCACAAGGTCAGGAGTTTGAGACCAGCCTGACCAACATGGTGAAACCCTGTCTCTACTAAAAATACAAAAAAATTAGCCAGGCGTGGTGGCGCCTGCCTGTAATCCCAGCGACTCAGGAGGCTGAGGCAGGAGAATCACTTGAACCTGGGAGGTGGAGGTTGCAGTGAGTCAAGCTCACGCCACTGCACTCCAGCCTGGGCAACAGAGCAAGACTCTAGAGAGCATACAGTTGGATCTTGTTTTTCAAATCCAGTCTAAAAATTTTCTGCTTTTGGCTGGGTACAGTGGCTCATGCCTGTAATCCTAGCACTTTGAGAGGCCAAGGTGGGAGGACTGCTAGAGCCCAGGAGTTTGAGATCAGCCTGGGAAATAGAGTGAGATTCCATCTCTATAAAAAATAGATAAATCGGCCGGGCGCGGTGGCTCAAGCCTGTAATCCCAGCACTTTGGGAGGCCGAGACGGGCGGATCACGAGGTCACGAGATTGAGACCATCCTGGCTAACACTGTGAAACCCCGTCTCTACTAAAAAATACAAAAAACTAGCCAGGCGTGGTGGCGGGCGCCTGTAGTCCCAGCTACTCCAGAGGCTGAGGCAGGAGAATGGCGTAAACCCGGGAGGCGGAGCTTGCAGTGAGCCGGGATCCGGCCACTGCACTCCAGACTGGGCGACTGAGCAAGACTCCGTCTCAAAAAAAAAAAAAAAAAATAGATAAATCAAAACTCAAAAATCTCTGCTTTTGCTTAATTCATTCACATTTAATGTTACTCTTATAGCTGGACTTATGTCTGCGATTTTTAGTTTTCTATAAGTCTCATGTCTTTTTTGTTATTCTAATACTCCTTTCCTATTTTCTTTTGCATTTTGTCAATATTTTCTATAGTGTAATTCCTTTAATTATATTTTTCACTACATCTTTTGAGTTATTTTCTTAATGGTCCCCCTGGGGCTTACCATATACATCTCATCAGAACTACTTCAGATTGATACTAACTCCCGTAAGATATAGAAAGTTTACCCTTACCCAGCTCTATCCTTCTCCCCTTTTGTGCAATTATTGTTATATGTATCACATCTATATGCTATAAACCCAATACTGCTTTGTCATAACTTTATATAATGTTATATCTATTAAAGAAGCTGAGAAAGAGAACAAATAGACATATTTACAGCTTTATTTATTTATTTATTTATTTTTTTATTTATTATTTTTTTGAGACGGAGTCGTCGCTCTGTCGCACCAGGCTGGAGTGCAGTGGCCAGATCTCAGCTCACTGCAAGCTCCGCCTCCCGGGTTCACGCCATTCTCCGGCCTCAGCCTCCCGAGTAGCTGGGACTACAGGCCCCCGCCACCTCGCCCGGCTAGTTTTATTGTATTTCTTAATAGAGACGGGGTTCACCGTGTTAGACAGTGAGGTCTCGATCTCCTGACCTCGTGATCCGCCCGTCTCGGCCTCCCAAAGTGCTGGGATTACAGGCTTGAGCCACCGCGCCCGGCCGCTTTATTTATTTATTTTTGGAGACAGGGTCTCACTCTTGTCACTCAGGCTGGAAGGCAGTGGCATGATCATAGCTGACTGCAGTCTTGAACTCTTGGCCTCAAGTGATCCTCCCGCTTTAGCCTCTCAAGTAGGTAGGACTACAGGCACATACCATCATGTCTGAGTAATTTAAAAAAATTCTTTTAGGGATTGAATCTCACTATGTCGCCCAGGCTGGTCTTGAACTCCTAGCCTCAAGTGATCCTCCCACCTCAGCTTCCTGAGTAGCTGGGATTACAGGTGAGAGCTACTGTGCCCAGCCTTTTTTTTTTTTTAAAGACAGAGGCTTGCTCTGTTGCTGCTCTGTTGCCTGGGCTAGAGTGCAGTGGCACGATCTTGGCTGAGTTGCCAGTTTTCTTTTTCTTTTTTTGAGACGGAGTCGCTCTCTCTGTTGCCCAGGCTGTAGTTCGGTGGTGTGATCTCAGCTCACTGCAAGCTCTGCCTCCCGGGATCACGCCATTCTCCTGCCTCAGCCTCCCAAGTAGCTGGGACTACAGGCGCCCGCCACCATGCCCAGCTAATTTTTTGTATTTTTTAGTAGAGACGGGGTTTCACTGTGTTAGCCAGAATGGTCTCGATATCCTGACCTCGTGATCTGCCCACCTTGGACTCCCAAAGTGCTGGGATTACAGGTGTGAACCACCGCGCCCGGCCAGTTGCCAGTTTTCTTTCAGCACTTTGAGTATGTCATCCTACTGCCTTCTGGTTGTTACATGTTCTCCATTGTTTCTGACGAGAAGTCCACTGTTAAGCTTACAGAGGTTCCCTTGTATGTGATAAGTCATTTTTCTCTTGTTGCTTTCAAGACTTTCTCCTTATGATTAACTTTTAGCATTTTTATTATGTGTCTAGGTGTGGATCTCTTTCCTACCTGGAGTTTACTGAGTTTCTTGGATGTGTAGTGTTTTTCAATAAATTTGAAAGTTTTTATTAATAAATTTGAAAGTTTTTATCTATTGTTTCATCAAATATTTTTCTGCTTCTACTCTACTCCTCATATTCCCATTAAATGTACACTGATACAGTTAAACACGTCCCACATTTCTGAGGCTCTGTTCATTTCTCTTTATTATATTTTCTCTCTGTCCCTTGGGTTATATAATCTTTTTTTTTTTTTTTTTTCTGAGATGGAGTCTCACTCTGTCACTCAGGCTGGAGTGCAGTGGCACAATCTCAGCTCACTGCAAGCTCCGCCTCCCGGGTTCACGCCATTCTTCTGCTTCAGCCTCCCGAGTAGCTGGGACTACAGGCGCCCACCACCAGGCCTGACTAATTTTTTTTTGTACACTTAGTAGAGATGGGGTTTCACCATGTTAGCCAGGATGGTCTTAATCTCCTGACCTCGTGATCCGCCTGTCTTGGCCTCCCAAAGTGCTGGGATTACAGCTGCAAGCCACCGCACCCGGCCGAATCTCTTACAATCTATTTTCATGTTGACTAATCGTTTCTTCTGCCAGCTCAAATCTACTATTGAGCCCCTTTAATGAAGTTTTCTTCTTCCTTTGAGAAAGGGTCTTACTTTGTCGCCCAGGCTGGAGAGCAGTGGCATGATCACAGCTTGCTGCAACCTCGACCTCTTGGGCTCAAGCAATCCTCCCACCTCAGCCTCCTGAGCAGCTAGGATCACAGGCGTGTGCCACCATGCCCACCTAAATTTAATTTTTTTTTTTTTTTTTTTGAGATGGAGTCTTACTCTCTCGTCCATGCTGGAGTGCAGTGGTGTGATCTCAGTTCACTGCAACTTCCGCCTACTGGGTTCAAGCAACTCTCCTGCCTCAGCCCTTCAAATAGTTGGGATTACAGGCGCATGCCACCATGCCCAGCTAATTTTTGTATTTTTAGTAGAGACGAGAGTTCACCATGTTGGCCAGGCTGATCTCGAACTCCTGATCTCAAGTGATCTGCCTGCTTCAGCCTCCCAAAGTGCTGAGATTACAGGCATAAGCCACTGTGCCTGGCCTAAGTTTTTAAAATTTTTTGTAGAGATAGGGTCTCACTATGTGCTCAGGCTGGTCTTGAACTCCTGGGCTTAAGCAATTCTCCTGCTTCCACCTCTCAAAGCACTGGGATTCAGGCATGAGCCACTGTACCCAGCCTAATGAATTTTTCATTTCAGTTATCCTACTTTTAAACTTCAGAATTTCCATTTGGCTCTTTTTAAAAATTAGTTTCTGCCTTTTTATCAATATTCTCTATTTGATGAGACATCATCTTCACACTTTTCTTTACCTCTTTAAGCATGGCTTCCCTTCAGTTCTTTGAAGGTATTTATTTATTTGGTTTTTTTTTGAGACAAAGTCTTGCTCTGTTGCACAGGCACAATCTCAGCTCACTGCAACCTCTGCCTCCTGGGTTCAAGCAATTCTCCTGCCTCAGCCGCCCGAGCAGCTGGGACCACAGGCGCATACCAACACGCCCAGCTAATTTTTGTATTTTTAGTAGAGACGGGGTTTCACCATGTTGGCCAGGCTGGTTTTGAACTCCCGATCTCGTGATCCGCCTGCCTCGGCCTCCCAAAGTGCTGGGATTACAGGCGTGGGCCACCATGCCCGACCCAGTTCTTGGAACATATTTATTATGATTATCCTAAAGTCTTTGTTAAATCTGACATCTGGTCACTCTCACAGGCAGTTTCTGTTGCCTGTTTTTTCCCTGTTTCTTTGCATATTTCATAGTTTTTCTTGGAAACTAGACATCTTAGCTAATACAGCAACTCTGGATACTGCTTCCCCTCTCCACAGCTTATTTTTGTTGTGGTTGCTTATTTATTTGCTTTGTGATTTGGCTAGACTATTTCAGTGAAGTCTATTTTCCCTACAGCATGAAGCCATTTGGATGGCACAGCCTTAGGGGTACAAACTGACCCTGGAATGACAGTGGTTTCAAGCAGGGCTCTCTTTGTCTAGATCCCCGATCTCTCTGCTAAACTGTGTGCCTTATTTGGATTACGCTCAGCCTCGATGACCCATTAATTGCAGTTCTATTGTTTTTGACAATGTTCCAGGGCATCAATTGCTCAGCAGTCTGATCCAATTAAATTTGGGCAGGAATAGTCTTTGCTGTAAGTCTTCTGAGATTTGTTCTGACCTGAGGAGGGCTCCTCTTAGCTACCTTTCCCTGATTCTCTCTGATGAACTAGATGGCCTACAGTTTAGTTACTGTTCTTTATTAAGGTATGCTATCATTTTCTAAAGTGTCCTTAGGCCTGTACTTCCCTACACTGTTTCAAATAAAGTCAGTTCCTTGGGAGAGTACTTCGGAGCTCTCTTTTGTTATGAACTGTCTCTCCCCCTGGGAAAGGTCTCTGAGGCACTACTCTGGGTGTTGGGTGGGATAGTAGCCTCCTGACTTCTTGGCTTGCTTCTCTCAGTGGAACCTCCGCCCTACGAATGAGCTGAGGTGAGGACGATTAGGGCTCCAGTTCTGCTGCAAATGGGATGGAGCCTCCATTCTGTAAGCTTCGTGGAGAAAGGGAGACCTAACCTCTCAGCTGCACTCACTAGAATTTCAGCCTCTTCAACTTGGAGTTGGAGGGGAAGAGAAATGTTGACAATGTGGCCTTCCCAGTGAGATATAGTAAACCTGACTGGGAGCTGAGGGGAGAAGAAGCCCCATCTTCTTCTCCACACTTATCCTGAGTGGAGATTTGTCAAGCTGAGCTGAGGCGAGGAGGAAGGAACTGGCTAGGGCTCAATGCCACAGACTCTTGCTGTTGTTTACCAGAGTTTTAGTAGATTTTGTTGAAAAAATATGTCTTCATTTGATGTATGCTCTTAGAGCAATTCCTAGAGACTTTCTTTTTTTTTTTTTTTTTTGAGATGGAGTCTTGCTCTGTCACCCAGGCTGGAGTGCAGTGGTGCGATCTCAGTTCACTGCAACTGCTGCCCCCAGCCCGGGTTCAAGTGATTCCCCTTCCTCAGCCTCCTGAGTAGCTGGGATTATAGGCATGTGCCACCACACCTGGCTAATTTTTGTATTTTTAGTAGAGATGGGGTTTCATCATGTTGGCCAGGCTAGTGCTGAACTCCTGACCTCAAGTCATCTGCCCACCTCAGACTCCCAAAGTGTTGGGGATTTCAGGTGTGAGCCACTGTACCCAGCCTCCAGAAACTTTAAATGGTTGATTTTTTTTCTTTTTTGAGACAGGGTCTCGCTCTGTTAGTCAGGCTGGAGTGCAATGCCGCATTCATGGCTCACTGCAGCCTCAACATTCCAGGGTCAAGTGATCCTTTTGCCTCAGCCTCCCAGGTAGCTAGGACCACAGGCATGTGCCACCATACCCAGGTGAATAAAAAATGTTTTTGGTACATACAGGGTCTCGCCATGTTGCCCAGGCTGGTCTCAAAGTCCTGGACTCCCACCTCGGCCTCTCAAAGTGCTGAGATTATAGGTATGAGTCACCATGCCCGGCCTCGATGGTTGCTTTTTCATAGTTCTCCCCAGCTTTGCTTGTTTTACTGGGAAGCAGATATATGGGAGCTCCTCATGCTACCATCCTTAAAGTAGAACTCTACCCAGTCTCTTGTACTGAAGCTGTGCCTCTGGGATGGAAATTTCCTACTGAGTGGGATACCAAAAGACCTAAGTGAGCTTTCTATAGATAAGCTAGGTTTGAACAAACCCGACAGTCGTTGTTATCACTAGCCATAGGCTTGTCTCTGAGCTTCTCAGTCAACTCAGCCTATTTCCTTAAAGGTTTTCCATGATATCCGCTGAGGTATAGCAGGTACCCTTTTATCCCTTAACCTGGTCTTGCCCCATCCCAAGGTCTGTTGCTGCCAGCTACTACCCTTCTCTTGCTCAAGTCCTTTTGCATTGCCCATTTCACATTTCCTTCTTCTCTCATCACCAACAGGATACGTGAGTGCCAGGGTAGGATTTCTGGTCATTATATGTGAAATTCTTATAAAACTGACTCATGTGCTTCCCGAAAGGGGATTTGATTTAGAAGTCATTTGATCTCCACATCACAGACACATTTCATGGCAAGCAGAGAGCCAACAGATGATTGGCTTTCCTAATGCAGATGGAACGTGTATTAAAATATAAGAAGAGAGCACTTCTCCTCTATACACAACTTTAAGGTCAGATTGAGAAAAAGGATTAAGTAGGGTTCCCACTGATTCATGCTGGCACTTGAAAGAAACGTGAACTCTCTCTTTTTGATGAAATGGAAGACAAACCTAAAGATTCTAGCTTTACCTCAGAAGATACATGGTTAGTTTTAGAAATAACTTTCCTATTCAATCTCAGTTGCCTACTTACCATTTTTTCTAAATGCATGGTCTTTCAACACCCACTCAGCAGAGAAGTTGCCAAGTCATTGCAAAACTGCAGACATATACTCCTCAAAGACTGAGTCAGATAGGCTCAGTAGAGTATTACTTTGTATCTAATTCCAATGAGCTTTTTCTGGTTTCTATATCCAAGTAATCAGAAGCCAAAAATCAGAAAGGGGGAATCACTAAAAGCAGACAGGCAAACATACTAAAAGCACTGACAAGAATATAAACAACAAAAAGCTTCAACGAGCAGATACAACAATTCGAACTGCTCAGTGGTATGGGGCATTAGTCTGAGCAACCTCAGCAGGCCCAGGGCATCACTGTATTCAGTGTAACAAAGGAACTGGAGTTCATAAAAATCATGGCTCTGGGTCAATAAGAGAGAAATCACAACACCTTCAGTAACCTCTGTTTAAACATGAAATGTAAATTTTAGAAAAATATTCATCCGGCTGGGCATGGTGGCTCACATCTATAATCCCAGCACTTTAGGACGCCAAGGCAGGCAGATCACCCGAGGTCAGGAGTTCAAGACCAGCTTGGCCAACATGGTGAAACCCTGTCTCTACAAAAATACAAAAAAAATTTAACTGGGCATGATGGCAGTTGCCTGTAATTCCAGCTACTCAGGAGGCTAATGCAGGAGAATCGCTTGAACCCAGGAGGTGGAGGTTGCAGTGAGTCAAGATCGTGCCATTGCACTGCAGTCTGGGCAACAGAGCGAGACTCTGTCTCAAAAAAAAAAAAAACAAAAAACCTCCGAAAAAGAAAAAAAGAAAAATATTCATTCAAAATGATGTTGAATAGGTGCTATCCTCAGCTACATGGGAAACTTAGCTACACAGACTGACATTCCTTGAATGATCTAAATGGCTGAGGTTTTACTGTACTTAAAAATTTTAGTTTTTTGGCCAGGTACAGCAGCTTACACCTGTAATCCCAGCACTTTGGGAACCCAAAGCGGGCGGATCACTTGATGCCAGGAGTTCAAGACCAGCCTGGTCAACAGGGCGAAACCCCGTCTCTATTAAAAACACAAAAATTAGCTGGGCGTGGTGGTGTGCGCCTGTAGTCCCAGCTACTTGGGAGCCTGAGACATAAGAATCATTTGAGCCCAGGAGTTGGAGGCTGCAGTGAGCCAAGATTGTACCACTGCACTTGAGCTAGGGCGACAGAGCGAGACTTTGTCTCACCCACAATTAGTTTAGCATGTTCCTATTATGTGAAAATGCTTTTCAACACTTGCTGAACCCTGGATTGGTATAAATACATATGGCGTTCATAATAGCACAGGCTCCTAAGAGAAATCATAACCCCTATGGAACCGTAACTCACCACAGTTGTCCAGAGTTAACAATAAAATACCTAAATCAGAGAGATCACTTGGGCAAATGTATGGGTTTTCGCAAGCATATTTTGAGAAGGAAAGAAAAAGTACCTACATAAATTTGACCATAATATTTAGAAACCTCTGATATTGTAACTGGCACTTACTTCCACGTTGCTTAAGCACTCACTGCTGCCAAACATTTACAATAATATTTTTAAAGCTTACTTTACGCTTACTAGTTACCTAAGGAGCCACAAGGCAGGGGCTTGCCGCACACTTTTCCACATGAAGGCACAGGGTCCATGCACGTTTTCCGACCACTACTTCCAAGTTCTAGCAATTGGCTGAGAGGAGTTTGGCCACAGGGGCAACAGCGCACCAGTGCGGGGAGCCGTGGGCATGGCTGGCAGGGCTGAGGGTGGCATACTTGTGAACATGTATGGTTACTGCATTTCAAGTCCCTGTTAAGAAGAACACACTATTATATAATTGTTGCATAAAGTGCAGCTTTAGTTCAACTGAGGAAAATGTAAAACCTTACTTGCCACATATCTTTAAACAGCTGAAATCCCCAAATCCATCAGACTTTCCTACATCGGTTCCACATAACACATCTCGGGAGGTGCTGCCGCAATAGCATACTTGAAGAGAAAATTTCAAAAACAAAAAATTAGTAACATGTATGGGTTCTTAAAATATCCCAAATAATCTGTAAGAAAATACAAAATGCGGGCCCAGCACAGTGGCTCATGCCTGTAATCCCAGCACTCTGGGAGGCCAATAGAGTACTGATCAGACCTTATGCAGAAATAAGTATAGTCTATACAGCAGCTCTAAGACCCACCTAAGAGCTTTACCATAGGAAGAAATAAAAAAGGCCTTGTCAAACTATTAATATCTCATAGCGCCTCTGCAGCACATTCCAAGAACAGCATCAGAGTGAAGCAACCTTTTAATTAAGAGAACACTATCTGGTCCATAAGGTCATGGTTGAACACTATTCACTGTGAGGCTCCTGGGGGTCCTCTGGTGATGTTACAGGGGATGGACAAGCTAAGCTGGCAGTAGTGGTGGAGGAGCTCTCATCTGGATCTCCCATCCTCACTTCAACCCAAGACGCACAGGTTTCATACTTTATGTCAGGGTTTACATAAAACGCTTGTAAAAAGGTCCCCATTGCTAAAAAGCAATTTAAAAATTGGCATGAGAGTATAAGCTCTAATGATCAGAATAAACACAGTATTATAAAAACATACCAAATTTTAAAAATCATGTATATAATAAAAATAAAATAGAAACCTAATAAGGCATTAAAAATAATAGTCATAAAATAAAATCGTACATTAAACAGAACCAAAAAGTTTCACTGAAACATGGGAAAAGGAAAGCCTCAAATCATTGAAGATATAATTAAGACTTTTTGTTTTTCAGACGGAGTCTCACTCTGTCACCCAGGCTGGAGTGCAGTGGCGTGATCTTGGCTCACTGCAACCTCCGCCTCCCCAGTTCACACAATTCTCCTGCCTCAGCCTCCCAAGTAGCTGGGATTATAGGGGTCCGCCACCACGCCCAGCTAATTTCTGTATTTTTAGTAGAGATGGGGTTTCACCATGTTGGCTAGGCTGGTCTCGAACTCCTGAGCTCAGGCAATCCACCTACCCCAGCCTCCCAAAGGGCTAGGATTACAGGCGTGAGCCACCACGTCTGGCAATAATCAAGATTCTCGATTTTTTTTTTTTAAAGACAGGGTCTCACTTTGTTGCCCAGCTGGAGTACAGTGGTATGAACACAGCTTACTGCAGCCTCGACCTCCCAAAGTGCTGGGATTACAGTGAGCCTCGACCTCCCAAAGTGCTGGGATTACAGTGAGCCACTGTGCCTGCCTTGACTTTTTTTTTTTTAATTAGCTGAATTTAAGATTCAAGGATTCTTTATTTTTAAAATACACATTCCATCTTCCAGTAAGTACATGCGCAATTTCTTTTCTTTTCTTTTTTTTTTTTTTTGAGACAGGGCCTCACTTTGTCACCCAGGCTTGAGTGCAGTCATGTGAACACAGCTCACTGCAGCCTCAAACTCCCAGGCTCAAGCGATCCTCCCACTTCAGCCCCTCAAGCAGCTGGGAGTACAGGGTGCATGCCACCACACCTGGATAGCTTTTGTATTTTTTGTAGAGATGGGGTTTTGCCATGTTGCCCAAACTGGTCTCAAACTCCTGGGCTCAAGGGATCAGCCCATCCCAGCCTCCCAAAGTGCTGGGATTACAGGTGTGAGCCACTTCACCTGGCCTATATGCAATTTCATCCCCCATTCTAAAACTCACTTGTTCATTTAATAAAAACTGATTTGATAAATTAATAAAGATTCAGAAAATACACTAAATATTTGTAGAATCAATGAACTGGTAAAGAAACCCTGGCAACTGGGAGCTTTTGCTAGTAGGCTTTTCTTTGATAAGTTTCTGCTCAAACAGAACAAAGGCTTTTTACAGAGGTAATGAATAGAAAGTTGTGAACAAAAGAATCAAGGGTCAGAACGGGTAACAATAAAAAGAAAATTGAGTTCCTGATGAAAAAATCTGAGTAAATACTAAAAAGCTCTCCTAGGCACAAGAAACAGAAAAATGAGCAGGTGACAGAAGAATTAGGTAGAGTCACAGCTGGTTAAATAGTATTAAGGAACCAAAGGACCCTGTTGCCAGCCTTAAACCATTTAGTATTTTATCAACATATGAATAAAGACCCAAAAAGAATGCTTATTAATCTCTAGATAAGGTTGAAAGGGATCCTAGGTTCGCCGCCTCTCCCACCTGCCCCGGCGCGGACCCCGAGGCGCCCCCGGTCTCGGCTTCCGCCGCGCTGCCCGCCAGCACCGCTGCGGAGAACAAGGCCAGCCCCGCGGGGACAGCAGGGGGGCCTGGGGCTGGAGCAGCTGCTGGGGACATGGGACCCTTGGCGGCGCGGGCCGGGGAGCCAGCTGAGCGGCGTGGGTGTCGGCGGGTGGCGCGGCTCCCCCAGAAGGGGCCATGTCTAAGGGTGTTTACGTACTGCCCAGCGCGGCCAACGGAGACGCGAAGCCGGTGGTGTCCAGCACGCCTTTGGTGGACTTCTTGATGCAGCTGGAGGATTACACGCCTACGACGCCAGATGCAGTGACTGGTTACTACCTGAACCATGCTGGCTTTGAGGCCTCAGACCCACGCATAATTCGGCTCATCTCCCTAGCTGCCCAGAAATTCATCTCAGATATTGCCAATGATGCCCTACAGCACTGCAAAATGAAGGGCACAGCCTCCGGCAGCTCCCGGAGCAAGAGCAAGGACCGCAAGTATACTTTAACCATGGAGGACTTGACCCCTGCCCTCAGCGAGTATAGCATCAACGTGAAGAAGCCGTACTACTTCACCTGAGCCACCCAACCTAAATGTACTTGTCTGTCCCCATGTCCCCACACCAGCCTGTTTTCACAATAAACTTTATTGTGACAAAAAAAAAAAAAAAAAAGAAAGGGATCCTAGAACTATAATTCAAGAAGATAAACTATTTACATAGCCAAAATATTCTGCTAGATAACTAATGTGGAAAAACAAAAATCTTCAAAACTGGGTTTGAAAAATCAACTAAAAAGAAACAAGGAGGAAGAGACTGGGATCAATACAGTTTTGTACAAAAAAGACTTGGGTGATTTAGCTGAGTAAAAGCCCAATATGAATCAAGAGCTAAAAACAGCTGAAGCCAGGCATGATGGTGTGCATCTGTAGTCCCAGCTACTTGGGAAGCTGAGGCAGGAGAATCTGCACTCCGGTCTGTATGACAGAACAAGATCCAAAAAAAAAAAAAAAAAAAGGGCTCAGTAAGTACCAGGATAGAGAGCTTTTCTACACTTCCTGCTAATTACAGATCCATATGACATAACAGATAATCAAACTGGGCACAGGCAACTCTTCATTCTCTTTGAAGAGACTTAAAAACAGGGGCTGGAACATATTATCCCATTTTCAGCCTGGGATAAAGCTTGAAGAAGCACCCACAGGCAGGGGTCAGGATTCACAACAGGCTTCAAGGCTTCCATAGAAGCCTTGAAGTTCTATTCCACAGAGAACAGACTACAGAAATTTTAGTCTGGAAAATAATCAGGACACATTTAATCAGTCATCCGTCTCAGTGAAAAATCTCAAGAATGTACTCAAAAAACACCGAGTTTTGAGCAATACTGGTTTTGGTGGATCCCACAAGAAGACTAGCATTGCTGTGAACAATCTGGCTGCTTTTTTTCTGAGACAGAGTCGGGTTCTGTCACCCAGGCTGGAGTGCGGTAGCGTGATCTCGGCTCACTGTAACCTCCGCCTCCTGGGCTCAAGTCATCCTTCCACCTCAGCCTCCCAAGTAGCTGGGACTACAGGTGATTGCCACCATGTCTGGCTAATTTTTCTCTTTTTTTTTTGGTTAGAGATGTGTTTTTGCCATGTTGCCCAGGCGGGTCTCAAACTCCTAGGCTCAAGTGATGCACCCGCCCTGGCCTCCTAAAGTGCATAAGGTACTGTGCCCAGCCCAATCTAGCCACTTTTAAGAGGATGTGTGGTCTGTGAACACATTTCACAGGGAAGAAATGAAGCAATCACAGCTGTTAGGCCTGAAAGGAAACACTGGGAAAATATATGACAGCTGATTTTGAACAACCCAGGAGGAACATGAAATGTAGAGAAAGGCAGACCAAGGAGAGAGTATATTTCAGGGAAGCAGATTTTGGCTCAATAAAAGAAAAAACTGGGACAATTAGAGTTGTATCATGACCAAACAGCCTACCTAAAAATACAGTGAGCTTTCAGGCTCTTTAATCAGCGACTGAGTAACTGACAACATTCACTTTGGAGAGCAAAGGGGGGATAACTGCACTAAGAGAAAATAAAATTGGATTCCTTTTTTTTTTGAGACAGAGTTTCGTTCTTGTTGCCCAGGCTGGAGTGCAATGGCACAATCTTAGCTCACTGCAACCTCTGCTTCCCGGATTCAAGTGATTCTCCTGCCTCAGCCTCCAGGTACCTGGGATTATAGGTGCCCACCACCACGCCCCAGCTATAAATTTAGATTCTCCTCTCCTATTTCTAGATTGCAGTAATGGAGAGGAAGAGAAAAACTGAAAACATCACAAACATAAACTTATATTCACAATTTAAAAAAGTTTTTCTATTCATGTAGATACTTTTTTCCCATTGATGTACAGCTAGGACACAATAAACACAAATATTTTACATATTCAGTTTTGATTGGTTTCTGATATCTTTTGGTAATTGTATACATCTGTGTAACTAACCCCCAAAACAAGGTATCAAACATTTCCATTAACCCAGAAACTGTGTGTCCCTTCCCCTAATTTCCACCACTAGGCAACCACTTTCTAATTTTTATTATGAAAAATTAGTTTTATATGTTCTTAGATTTCACATATGTTCATTTTATTATTATCATTATTATTATTATTATTTTTTAGACTGAGTCTCATTCTGTTGTCCAGGCTAGAGTATAGTGGCGCGATCTCAGCTCACTGCAACCTCTACCTCCCGGGTTCAAGTGATTCTCTTGCTTCAGACTCTTGAGTATCTGGGATTTACAGGTGCCCACCACCACGACCAGGTAATTTTTATATTTTTAGTAGAGACAGTGTTTCACCATGCTGGCCAGGCTGGTCTCGATCTCCTGACCTCAAGTGATCCACCCACCTCAGCCTCTCAAAGTGCTGGGATTACAGGCGTGAGTCACTGTGCCCGGCCAGTTCATTTTTAAAAAGATTATTTTGGTCTTTCTAGGTCCACAATAATCTGGTCCTTTCAAGCAGTTACTTTTAAACAGCATTTTAAAATCTATTTAAATTAGATAGGCCAGGCACGGTGGCTCATGCCTGTAATCCCAGCACTTTGGGAGGCCCAGGCAGGCGTTATCACTTAAGGTCAGGAGTTCGAGACCAGCCTGGCCAACACTGTGAAACCCCATCTCTACTAAAAACACAAAAATTAGCAAGGCGTGATAGCGGGCACCTGTAATTCCTGCTACTTGGGAGGCTGAGGCAGGAGAATTGCTTGAACTCAGGAGGTGGAGGTTGCAGAGAACTAGGATTATGCCAATGCACTCCAGCTTGGGCGACAGAGTGAGACTCATCTCAAAAAGTAAAAAAAATTATACAGGACAATGACCTATACCAGTATGCAGGTAAAATAAAAAAACTATCTAAGCATTGTATCTCCCAAGGTCTTTGTGACTATAAGCCTGACACCAACCAAAGTTTATCAAGACAATCATTAATAAGGTTCCAGAAAAGAACACAACCATTGCTAGCTGGTGTGCCCACCACTTACCCTGGTTCAAAATGATCTGGCAAGGCTGGCATTGACCCCCATGGCACAGCTCAGCACATTGGTGCTGACCACAGTTCAAAATATTCTCACATGGGTTGGAACAGTGGACTGAGACAGCCTGACCACAGCGAACTGTGTGCCTGCAAAGACAATAGATGTAAAGAGAGCATCAGTCTAAAAGTTCCTGTTGGACAACTAAATTAACACTGCGGCCCTAACTCTTCCCCTCAAAACCTACTCAGCCTTTCTCTAACTTCATTTCCCTTTTTCCAGTAAGTCTCCCTCCTCCAATCCTTATTTCCTCAATTACTCTCCCCTTCTCCACTCTTTTTCTTCTTTTTTTTTTTTTTTTTAAAAATAGAGACAGGGTCTCACTATGTTGCCCAGACTAATCTCAAACTCCGAGGCTTAAGCAATCCTCCTGCCTCAAGCTCCCAAAGTGCTGGGATTACAGGCTTGAGCCACCACGCCTGGCCCACTCTTCTTTTTCTTCCTTTGTTCTTTTTATTTTCCATCCTGTCTTTCTCTCCTATTTTCTGAGTGGTGAGGAACTGAAGGCTATTCCTGAGTATTTGCTTTATGTGATTTCATCTGAGTTCCACGAAGCGGCATGCATAAGGAGAAAGAACGCTGGGGTGAGGAGTTAGAATATCTGGGTTCTAGTCCTAGCTCTGCGTGGAGCTTCCACAGTACTTCACAGACAGGGGAGAAGGATAGCTATCATGTACCCAGATCTGACACACTCAGATTAACAGCACAATGGCATTATTCTGAGACCCAGCACTTAGAACATACTATATGTGACTTTGCTTCCGGGTAGGGAAATAAGCTAATTCTAGTTTTGTTCCAATAAACATCCTGATTTTGCTGAGAGAAGGATATAAGAAAGTCCTTTTTTTGTTTGTTTATGTGAGACAGAGTCTTACTCTGTTGCCCAGGCTGGAGTGCAGTGGCGCCATCTTGGCTCGCTGCAACCTCCACCTTCTGGTTTCAAGCGATTCTCCTGCCTCAACCTCCCCAGTAGCTGGGGCTACAGGCACGTGTCACCACGTCAGCTAATTTTTGTACTTTTAGTAGAGACAGGGTTTCACCATGTTGGCCTAGTTGGTCTCGAACTCTTAACCTCAAGTGATCCGCCCACCTCGGCCTCCCAAAGTGCTGGGATTACAGGCGTGAGCCACTGCGCCAAGCCAGATAAAGTACTTTTAGACAATTGTCTTCAGGTCTCTTTCTAGGGTAATGGTTAAGCACTTGCAGTCTACTCTCCTGTAAGAAGAGTTTTATCTGATCCCCGACTCTCAACTCCATATTTTGTTCTTAAAAGTCACTGTTATATACATAAATGATCAGCTTGCAGTACTTGACCTAATGACTAACACTGGCCTATTATGCTACCATTCTGCCTAGCACCATGGCTAACATTAACCCCTTGAAGTAGACACTATTATTTCTACTTTATGATAAGAAAAATGAGGTCCAATGAGACCAAGCAACTTGCCCAGAATCAACAACCAGTAAGTGACAGAACCAGGATCTGACCTTTCTGAGTCAAAACACTTACATGTAATCTCAGGCCACATGGCTATCCTCATAAGTTCAGTAAAGGCTAAACAAACGCACCTCACTGAAAATCTGCATGATTCATCTCATCTTGTGGTTCAGAAATCATTTTAAGATCTTACTGGGCCTCAGAGACACTCCACAGCTATCAGTGATCCTTGTACTAACCATGTAGGAGACCTTGTATTATAATAGAACAAGAGTGGGCTCTGGAGTCACCTATTCTTTCATTCAACAATATTCATTAAAAGATTCCTAGATGCAAGATACTGTGCTAGGCACAGGAAACTGGTCCCAGCCTCCTCAACCTTAATAGGCCTGGGTTCAACTCCTGGTTCTGTCACCCACTAGAGAGGTTAAAAAAAAATCATTGTCAACTGAACACGGTGGCTCACGCTTGTAATTCCAGAACTTTGGGAGGCCGAGGCAGGTGGATCACGAGGTCAATAGTTCAAGACCAGCCTGGCTAAGATGGTGAAACCCCATCTCTACTAAAAATACAAAAATTAGCCGGGTGCGGTAGCAGGTGCCTGTAATCCCAGCTACTTGGCAGGCTGAGGCAGGAGAATTGCTTGAACCCGAGTGGCAGAGGTTGCAGTGAGCCGAGATCACGCCACTGCACTCCAGCCTGGGTGACAGACTGAGACTCTATTTCAAAAAAAAAAAAAAAAAGTCCTTGTCACCTGGTATTTTACCTGAAATAATGGGTAGTCTCACAATCTCACTGTGTGTATAATTTCTTAATCACTTATAAGATTACAAAATAGGGTCATGGGCAGCACAGGGAACTACTATAGAAAAGTACTATCCGTGGTGCATTTGGTCTCTCAAGTTGCCCACTTGGCTCTCTTCCAAGTTGTACTTTCCTTCTGTCCTCTCCTTCCTGTTCTAAAGCTTAAAAAAAAAAAAAAAAAAGTACTATTCATGCCTACCATTTATTTGTATCTAGCTACTATTCTTTTATTTTAGAAATTCACAAGTCAATCATGCATGTGAAAACTGAGGTCTTCTTTAGAGTGCAATTTTAACTTTACCTGGTTCGTCCACATTCACATGTTTTTGTCATAAAGGCAGGGCAGGGTGGGCAGGGTCCTGGATGGCAGAGACTGAAAGAGAAAGGTTTCACTGAATAAACCACAGCCATGTATCCAAATGCGAACAAAGCTGTCCTAGCTGGGTCTTATTGTGAATATGGCAACAAATAAATCTACTCTGACATGTCTTTGTATTTGTTTAAAGTTGATTAAACTATTTGAACAAAGATATCAACTGTACTTTTATGTGCAAAAAACTGACATCATTATCACCATAGACTATTTAACCAGAGAAGTAAATCCCAAGTCAAAATACTGGTTATATTTGGGTCTGAGAGTCAAAGATGACATTTTCAAATACGGTCTTGGTCCACTTACAGCAGTGTGTGGGGATAAAAATAGTTTGCTACTCAGGTAAAAGGCAGAATGGCTAATAGGGTCCTGTAGAAGATCAGAGTCTAAGCAAGGTAATAGAACTCAAATCTACTGGGTTTGTAAGAAGTACAGACATACTCTTCATCAGCTATTGAAGTAATAATCAGCCACTGGGCTAACAATGGAACAGTGAAAAGAAGGCTGACATGAGGGGAGGCATGCTGGTGAGTAAGATGGAGAGAATGAAAGGGAAAGGGGTTATAGAAAGAACTGGGCTGAGTGATATGCTATAGGTCAGAATTAGCCCTCTGAAAAATGCTTTTTTAAGGAGCTATATTATAGAGACCAATAGAAAAAAGTTACAATATGGAATTTGTGTATTCAAATAAATACTGTCCTCTTCAAAGCAGACACTTTGGCAAATTACACAGTGGTACAGAAATACCACTACTTAAAACATTTTGGGAACTTCTACGACAACCGTTTTTGGAGTAGGAGGGGTATATTCTAGGTGGCAAATCACAACCCTTTGGGAATCAAAAGCCAATCAGAGCCAAGACGAATTAATCAGATGGGTGTGACAGGACTCTCATTCATCGCTAGTGGAAATGTAAAATGGTATGGCCACTTTTAAGACAGTTTTGCAGTTTCGTACAAAACTAAACATAGTCTTACCATACAATCTAATAATTACACTCCTAGTTACCCAACTGAGTTAAAAACTTACATCCAGGGCTGAGCGCAGTGGCTCATGCCTGTAATCCCAACACTTTGGGAGGCCAAAGAGGGAGTGTGCTTATAAAGTGCTTTAGTGTGCTTATAAAGTGGTCTGGCTGGAATGTTTAGTTTCTGTGAAACTCCTAAACAAGCTCTGATAATTCTTAAATAAGGTTTAAACATTGAAAACAATACAGGAACAAGTGTCTAGTCTTCTAAGGTGACTCATTTTGATAGACAATACCCATAGGAGACATAAGTTTAAGTATGTTTCTTTAAAGGTGAGTATCATTATTCAACAGTTATATTTTACATATACCTCAATCCTTTTGGGTGAAACAATTTTCATTGCTTGTCAGGTATGGGTGATTCTAGGTTATTTCAAATATCCCAGAAGCCGGGACTCAATCTGAGGTTTTCTTAACTTTTAGACCAGAGGTTCACAACACTGGCTATATATTGGACATGCCTGGAGAGCTTTTAAAAATATAGATGTTCACATCAGGCATGGTGGCTCACACCTGTGCTCTCAGCACTTTGGGAGGCTGAGGTGGGAGGATCGCTTGAGCCCAGGAGTTCGAGGGTGCAGTAAGCTACGATAGCATCACTGCACTCAAGCCTGGGCAACAGAGCGAAACCCTGTCTCTATGGCTTTTGAGGCCTAACAAGTGTAAATGAGAGAAACCAAAGCTTTCTTGGAGACCAGAAAAGTGCTACTGGGGAATGGGTTTCAGCAACCTCTATGTTGCTGAAAGTAAAAGAAAGTTCCCAAGTCAAGTGTGAGAGCTCCAGAGCCACAAAAGAGAAGGAGCAGGTTTTAAAGTGTTCTTTTCTTTCAGACGTGGTGCTGATCATGTGATCTGCATCAGTTTTCATCTCTGGTAGTCATGAAAGCTTTGGAAAAATAGTCCATGCAGAGGATTAACTTATTATTGAACTTACTGAAAATGACAATTATGGCAGGAATAGCTTAAGTCCTTCCTAAAGAAGGACCTATGCGAGCAGTCAAAGAGAAGGAGGTATCTGACTGCCCAGCAGATCACAGGCCATGCTGTCTAGCCCAGTCTAAAACAGTTCTACTCCCACTGATATTTCCCCAGCACCACCACCATGCCTTGATCTCAAGGCCCCTGGTCTAATACTATCTCTGCTCCAAGCAGTAGAAACACCAAGATAACACTCTGATGCCTCCTTTACTCTTAGACTTGGGTAGTAAAAGTAAGAATCGTCATTTTTTGATCACTTGCCAGAGTCTGTACCCAGCCACATAGGTATAGTAATTCATTTAATTTTCCTAGAACTCTGTATTATTATTACTATCATCATTATTTTACAGATGCAGGCTTAGATAAGTTAAGTAACTTGCCCAAGGTCACATAACTGTTTAAGTAACTTGAACCTAAGATTTAAACCTTTGTCTGAGGTCAAGGCCTGTAGAAATTTACTTGTAACTGATCAACTGTTTTTCTATTACTGTGCATTTTTTGGTATTTAGAGGCTGACTGCATACAGTCTACTTATTTATTTATTATTTTTAGAGACAGGGTCTTGCTTTGTTGCCCAGGCTGGAGTGCAATGGTGCAACTACAGCTCATTGTAGCCTTGAGCTCCTCCTCGCTCAGCCTCCCAAGTAGCGGGGACTATAGGTGTGCGCCACCACACCCAGCTAATTTTAAATTTTTTTGTAGAGATGGGGCCTCACTTTGTTGCCTAGTCTGATCTAGAACTCCTGCCCTCAAGCAATCCTCCTGCCTTGGCTTCCCAACGTGTTGGGATTATAGGCATGAGCCACTGTGTCTGGCTTATGGATATAGTCTAAAGCCGGCTGTTTATTGTACAGAAAAGACTGACATCCTACGGCTGGGTGTGATGGCTCACACCAGGAATCCTGGCATGTTGGGAGGCTGAGAAGAGCAGACTGCTTGAGGCCAGGAGTTCAAGACCAACCTGGGCAACATGGCAAAACCCCATTTCTACCAAAAAATACAAAAATTAGCCAGGCGTGGTGGCACATGCCTGTAGTCCCAGGTACTCATGAGGATGAGGTGGGAGGATGGCTTGAGCACAGGAGGCGGCGGTTGCAGTGAGCTGTGATCACACCACCATACTCTAGCCTGGGTGACAAAGCAAGACCCTGTCTCAAAAAAAAAAAAAAAAAAAAAAAAAAGATCGACATCTTAGAAATACTGTCTGACCAGGACCCTACACAATTGTCTTTCCCCAGACAGAAGGTTCTCCTATACATTCTCTTGGAACTGGATATCCTGGATATCAATGGGAGATAAAACATATGAGTCACATTTCTTCTTAGAAGCAAGCAGTGTAATGTAATGGAAGGAGCACTGGCTTTGGAAACCCTAGCTCCACCATGACCACTGTGACACTGGGCAAGAGGCTTGGCCTTTCTGAGCCTCATCTGTAAAGTGGAGATGATAAATATCTATCTATTACTAGGCAGTGGTAAGGATTCAACAAGTTAACTGACGTAGAGTGCCTGGCACAGGGTGATTTGGGACCATTTACTGAGGTCCCATATCACCCTTCATTCCAAACTGTCACATGCTAACCAGATATGTTTACTTAGAGCCACCAGCAAAGCATGTCCACCCAGAATCCCAACGGAACTGGCATTCCAACTTACAGGTTACAGGAATGTGGGCAGTCCTGGCCAGGCTGTTTCTTTCTACAAACCTCACCACAGCTATGTGGAATTTCATTTCTGCTCCACTCAGGATTCTTTACCTTGCCTGGAACACATCAGATCAGAGAGTCAATGGTACAAACTTCAACCACATCCTCAACTTTAATGAAACAGTGAAGTATAGCTAGACAGCATGCAACTTTAGTGTGGTTTTTATTATTTCAACAAATGTATTATCTCATATCCTAAAATGAAAAGATAAATATAACGCTATTCATAAAAAGTTTCACTGAGTATGATAAATCTTAAATCTTAGATTACCTGGTAAAGATAAATAAAACGTCACTTTTACTTATGAAAATACTACCTTGACTAACGAAAACATTTAATTTAAGATAAATACCTATATGACAAGCCGTCTATAAATGGGCTTCTGGACTGATATGCAAATTGCTGCTGCGAGGATCAGAGAGAGGGAATAAGAGAAGAGCACCATGGGGAAAGGGGGGGAGGCAGTAAGAGATGGAAAGGACATAAATCCCCTGTGTAGCAGGAACTCACCTATTCCAAAACTATAAAGTGGGCATAAAAAAGCTTATAATTTTATAATCAACATCACTGCAAATCTTCATGACACATCTTCCATGGACTCAGCAGAGACAGGGAAGAGTAAAACGAAGGCACAGGATTCCTCCTTGCCCTTGAGGAATTCATCCTCACTTTGGCAATTTGCACACTAAATTGCAGCCATCCCCAGTCCATGGCCTCTGCTTTTCTCTCTATACTATCTCTTTCAGAAATTGTATTCATGTTGAGAGGTGCAATCCACCTAAAGGCCACTGATCCCCAAATCCACATTTTCTCTCTTGCCCTGAATCTTCAGTTGCAGACCCACATGTCCAAATGTCTGCAGAACACCCTTGCTTGGGGTTTCATGGTCACCTCAAACTGGCTTCATCTACAGCCAAAGTTCACATCCCTCTACAACTCCTCCCTGCTCAGGGCTTCCTATTTCTGTCAGTGACCCCAACTCTGTCAGAGTCACACATGCTCAAAAACTACAGTCATCACTCATACCTCTTTTTACTTAATCACCAAGTTGTGTCAATTTTTCCTACACAGTGGCTCTCACCTCATCTCCTCTCCTACTCCTGCCTCTCTACTGGCCAAAACCTCATCTCCAGACTCTTACAAAAGCTTCCCTGCCTCTGTGCTTTTTTGCTCCAATACAGTGCCCTGGTTTTTCCCTAACATCTCTCAAGAGTTCTACCTCTTGTCCCTGACTCCAAATGATGTTTTGGGGTTTTTTGCTTTTCTTTCCTCTGCAAGTGTTCTACATTACACCCTCTTCTCACTCTGTACCCTTTCATCCGCTAGGGTCTTAACTACTCCTCTCAGCTGTGATTCTCATCCTTAAGTCTTGGTCTTTCCTCAAATATTGCTTCCTGCCTATTGGACACATCTCACTGTATGTTCTGCTCACTCCTCCAGCTCAACATTTCTAAACTGCAGTCACTGTCCCCACCAGACCTTGTTCTTTTGACCTGCCCTTTTCCTTGGTATCACCATTTCTAAAAGCATGAAACTTGGGAGTCACATTTGGGTTCCTCCCATTCCTACTACTGTTAGGAATCAACCTAACACCATATTTTTCTTTCTATCACACTCATTAGAGGCTTGAACTGTTCTTCATCTGGATTATTGTAAGTCCCAAATTGTTTAGTCTCCAAAATACTCTACTCACTGCTACCAAACCCATCTCCATAAAGAACAACGTTGATGCCCTCAGTGGCTTCCCACAGCCTTCCAAATGAAGTCCCAACATCTGAGACTGGTATCAAAGGGTCAGCCCTTCCTTTCCAGTCACCTCCCACTTCTCTACTATCATAGACCTTGGGCTCCGTAAGTGGATGAATCACTCTTCTCCCAACAGAACCTAAATCCTGTTGATTTTGAACTGCCTATGCTATTCCCTTCAACATATCTTTCTGCCTACCAAGGCTTTATCTAGTTTACAATGTCAGTTCAATTCTACGTCCTTCAAGAAGGCTTCTCTTAAACATCCAGCTGCAAGTCGTAACTCACCCCAAAGATCTCCCATAGTACTTTGTACTTCTAGCAGAGTATCGGTCTAATTGTGTCTTAACTCTTAGACTGTAAGCTCTGTTAAGTTAACCTGTTTTATTTGCCTCTTTCTTCACAGTGCCTCGAACATTGATAAGTTCTCAATAAAAACATGTTAAACTAATGGTCCTCTGGAAGAACAGTGTGAGGCAAAGTCGTCGGCAAATAAGGCCTTTATGTACATTCTCACATCATTTTACCACTTTCAGATCATCTTGACCTTCACTCCACATTATTATACCGCCTTAGAGTCTCTCATCTAATTTGCCAGTAAAGGCTTTAACAAGATTTTTAATTCCATTGTGGTACTTTATGTTTAAAAAACCTTCAAAATAAGGTATTAAGTATTGGTATTGTCCTATTTGCCCAAATTTCCATTGATCTCTTACTTCCAGTTTCATGTTGCCTTTCTGGTAGTAGTATATTCAAGAATATTTATTCCCTCACCTAATACCAATTTAGTATCTATTAAGGCTCAGATTCTGTCAATAAAACATGTAAGACCAGAAAATTCCAAATAATATAAAACAGTGGCCAAAGTGAGAGAGAGAATAACAAAGGAAAGCTTCCTTTGTAAGAGGGCTTTTGGGGTCAGATTTTAAATGCTACTGTCGTTAAGAATTGAAAGAAAAGAAGGGAAGTCAAGGAGTTCACCAAGGTATTGTGTCTAGAAGATACAGAGTTGATGGTAAATGACTGACTCTTTGTGAAAGCTGCTAAGTAATGGGAAAGGAGAAATATGAGCAAACTGGTTAGAAAAATAAGGAGAGCATGCAGAAAGAAACAGGAAGAGTTGCCGGGCGCGGTGGCTCAAGCCTGTAATCCCAGCACTTTGGGAGGCCGAGACGGGTGGATCATGAAGTCAGGAGATCGAGACCATGATCCTGGTTTAACATGGTGAAACCCGTCTCTAACTAAAAATAACAAAAAAAATAACCCGGACGTGGTCGTGGGCGCCTGTATCCCAGCTACTCGGAGGCTGAGGCAGGAGAATGGCGTGAACCCGGGAGGCGAGCTTGCAGTGAGCCGAGATCACACCATTGCACTCCAGCCGTGGGTGACCACAGCGAGACTCCGTCAAAAAAAAAAAAAAAAAAAAAAAGAAACAGGAAGAGTTACTTATTTCAAGAAGGGAGTGGTCAAAGGTGTCAAGGGCTATCACTCTGCCAAAAAGATTATGAGCTTATAAAACCAGCCTTAGATATGGGTGTGAAAGGAGTCATTTGTGATTTGGTTTTATTTTATTTACTTATTTTTTGAGATGGAGTCTCACTCCTGTCACCCAGGCCTGCAGTACAATGGCCATGATCTTGGATTACTGCACACCTCGCCTCCCAGGTTTCAAGCGATTCTCCTGCCTCAAGCCTCCCCAAGAGTATTTGCTGAGACTGTACATGGATATGCGACACCCATTGAGCCCACGCTTCAATTTATTTTTATTTAGAGACGGGGGTGTTCGCCCACGTTGGCCAGAGCCTGCGGCTCGAACGCCGACAGGTGACTCCACCTCTACCTTGGCCTCCCACAAGATTTGTGCTGGATTACAGGCAATGAGCCCACTAAAGCCCGGGCCCATTGGGTAATTTCTGATCACAGTTTCAGTGGAGCAACAGACAGAACGCAAAAAACGCAATGCTTCAGGGAAGGCAAGACAGACAGTAAAGAAAGCAAATGCGGAAAATGCAACTAGAGGGAGTTATCATAAAAGGTTAAGGACAAGGGGAAAAAACATGCAGAAACATGGCTACCAGCAAGGATGAGCCATCGGTTACAAGCAAGTTTTCCCCTAATAAACTTAGGGGAACTGAGATAGTTAAAAAACAAAACGAAAGTGATCCATAAAGAGGGAAGAATGCCAGGATAGAGTTTCATAATGCTGGTTTTGTTAAAAAACGCTCTTATAAATACCAATGACTTATCAGACTAAATAAACACTGTTATATTACTCATACTGGCTCAAATCTGGAATATCAAGAAGCGAACTGCTAGGGTGAAATGAAGCTCACGAGGACCGTTGCCACAGCTACCTTCTGCCTACCGGGTCACGGCCTGGTTCAAGACCAAGGGAGACCAGGCACTACAGCCCAGAAGCAGCATGAGCCTGGTCGGCTATCTCAAACAGCCTGCCAGGAGCACAAAGGCGGTGGCTCTAAGTGGTTGATGACGAACATAGAAATACTAGTCCTATAGCTCTTATAGTCTTTGAGAGGTTTCTCCTTAGTTAACTTCCTAAAACCATGCCGCAGACACCTTTCCTGAACTGAGGTACAAAGTATATATAAAAGAGACTCCAGCTGTATATAAAACAAACTTACCACACGAACATCAAGTGAGTATTTGAGGAACATGTCAAGCAGAACACATTCTGACAGGCAGGGCACCTCCAACCACTCTGGCCATCTGTCAGGGAAAAACTGGGGAGTAGAGCCAACATAAAAATCTGTTCTTGCACAAAAGCCCACGATTAATTAAAAAAATTTAAATCTAATACGGAACCACATACGTGGTAAGTAACTTCAATGTTAAGCATATCAGTACATTAACGGAACAAAAACCTTCACTAAAACATGACTGCGCTTAGCGTTTGATACAAAGCATTCTTCCTTGAATATGGGAGTGCGAGTCTTAAAAAAAAAAAAAAACAAAGGTCGAGGCTGTGGTGCTCAGCCTGGTAATCCTTGGACCTGGTTGGGAAGCAGAGGTGGGTGGATCACAAAGGTCAGGAGATCGAGAACCATTCCCTGCCCAACCACTGGTGCAAAGCCCATCCTACACGAAAAATACCAAAATTAGCGTGGCATCTGGGTGCGCCACACCTGTAAATCCCAGCTACTCGCGACAGGCCTGAGTCAAGACAGACAAAGTCACTTGAACCCGGGAGGTGGGAGAGCTGCAGTGAGCCGACAGAATCATGCGCAACCGCACTCCAGCCTGGCACCAGCCGGACTCCACTGTTCAAAAAAAAAAAGACAAACCAAAACAATTCCAGAAATACCAACCCACTACGCTAGGGCAAGTGGTGGCGCATGGCTCAAATTCCAGCATTTTAGGAGGCGGCTGACGCAAGGACGCTTGAACCCAGGGGTCAACGACCAAGACTGGGCAACACAGTCAGATCGTCCTCAAAAAAAACATTGCTGGCATGTGGTGGATGTGCCGTACAGCCTCCAGCTGCCTGGACCCAGGGACGGATCTTGAGTCGCGAAAATCAAGGCTGCAGTGAGACATGATCACACCACTGGACTCCAGTCTGAGTAACAGAGTAAGACTCTGTATCAAAAAAAAAAAAAAAATTACAGTTAGATAGAAGGAATAAGATCTAGTGTTTAGTAGCACTATAGCTAACAATAATTTATTGTATATTTCAAAATAACTAGAAGAGTAGAATTGGGATGCTCCTAACACAAACAAATGATAAATATTTGAGGTGTTGGAATCCTAATATGCCAATGACCCTGATTTGATCATTACACATTGTATGCTTGTATCAAAATATCACGTATACCCTATGAACATGTAAACTATTATGTATGTATAGTAAGAATTTAAAAATGAAAAAAAAAAGATGTTTTTTAGTTTGTTTGTTTGAGACAGGCTGTCTCGCTCTGTCACCCAGCCTGGAGGGCAGTGGTGCAATCTCGGATCACTGCAACCTCCACCTCCTGGGTTCAAGCAATTCTCATGCCTCAGCCTCCCAAGTAGCTGGGATTACAGGTGCCCGCCACCACGCCTGGCTAATTTTTATATCTTTAGTAGAGATGGAGTTTCAACTTGTTGGCCAGGCTGCTCTCAAACTCCCGACCTCAGGTGATCCACCTGCCTCGGCCTCCCAAAGTGCTAGGATTACAGGCATGAGCCACCACACCAGGCCAAAAATGAGAAGATAAATTAAAAATAGAATTACCATATGATCCTGCAATCACACTTCTGTGTATGTATCCACAGGAAATAAAATCAGTATGTCAAAGAAAAAATAATAAGTAAAAGCCATCATTTTCAATATGAGTGACTGATTTTATCATATTCTAAAATATATTTTAACACTGTTATGTTTAGCTGGTTTATTTAAGATCTATAACTTAATTCTGGTCATCTGAAACACATGATCAAGGTAACATACACTCCCTGCAGAAAAAGTAGTCAAGAGAAATTAAACTGTATTTTTAAAGCTGGGTTTAATACTTGAACACATCAAATGGGTGAGAATAACTACTCAGAAGAGAGAATTAACTGACCTGCTTGAGATGCTGGAGACCTTGCCCATTTCTTTATGCAGTTCAAATGAAACACATGGTAACAGCTTTGACAACTCCACACTGGAGCCGTGACGCGAACCAATTCACAGCACACCATGCACTCATATTTTTCTGTAGTTAGTTGTTCAATCAGAGAACCTGTTTAAAAAACAAAGTAATAAAAAAGATAAACTCAAACACAAAAAACCATTCCTCACTTTAATCAACCAAGGATCATCAAGTCATTCAAGAGAAGAATCCAAACACAGAGATTTTAAGGGATACCTGATTCTAGGTAAGGCGGCTGGCTATTCAGACTGAGGCCAATAAGGGGCAGGAATATGCTGAGGAAGAGGATTTAGGAAGGAGACATTCAGGTGAAGATTCCCATAAATAAGGAAACATTCCCAGGAAAATAGCAGAGTAGCCAAACGACCCTTATAACAAAGCCTGAGGATCCACTGGGCAATATAGAATCTTGCTTTGCATTTTCTATTTTCCAGGATCCTCTAAATCTATCAGATCCATGGATTTAGGTTAGGAAGGGGCTCATGAAGCTGTAGTGTCAGCTATAAGAAGCCCAAGTCTGGGCAGGTTCCAACAACCCATGAGTGGTGAGATGGCTCTAGCAGTTGCCCTGAAAAAGTCTTTAGTCATTCCCTTAACAAAGATATTCTTGGTGCCTACCATAAGCCCCATGGTGGTGTTACAGTCCCTGGCTCCAGGAGCTCCACATCCAATGACAGAGACCAGTGTGTAGTTATCAGCTTAATCCTCCCAGATTTATTTCTGAATACCTTCGCCCACTTCCAAATTTTTTCCTCAAACACAATTACAGCAAAGTCTTTCCAGATTTCAGTACAGCCAGATACTCTCGATACTCTCAAAACTGAGTGTGAGTGTGTGTAGATGCTTTTTTGAGTACATACTTTTAGCACTGGATTTATTTCACAATATTATTGTTATTTGCTTTCAGGTCCAAATAAGTTAAAAGAATAAAACTAACCTAAAATACAACATTCCAAGCACATTACATATTATTAGTTAGTCCTCTCAAATAGGCTGTAACAGGTTGGGCACGGTGGCTTACACCTGTAATTACAGCACTTTGGGAGGCCAAGGTGGGCAGATCATGAGGTCAGGAGATCAAGACCATCCTGGCCAACACAGTGAAATCCCATCTCTACTAAGAATACAAAAATTAGCTGGGCGTGGTGGCATGCGGCTGTACTCCCAGCTACTAAGAAGGCTGAGGCAGGAGAATCTCCTGAACCCGGGACGCGGGGGTTGCGGTCAGATGAGATTGCGCCACTGCACTCCAGAGCTAGACTCCTTCTCAAAGAAAAAAAAAGGCTACAACATAGGTACAATTTTACAGATGAAGAAACTGGCTTCATGTAATTAGATCATTTATCCAAGGTCACAGAACTAGAAATTTAAAAGTCAAAATTCAAACTTGTCAAACTATCTGACTCAAAAGCACACATCGTAATATTCCATAATATTGGCTCTCCTAAGATTTACTTTCTGATTGTTCGCTTTGATGTCAAAAGAAAGAGAGAACACCCTGAGACTGAAAGCTCTGTGAGGAGGGAGAGTCTTGTCTACCTTGCTGAGTGTAGTATTTCCAGTGTCTGGCATATACTATGCGCTCCATTAAATATTTGTTAAATTAATGGATAAAGGAATAAATGAGTGATATCTAGTCTGTTCCACAACCTCTTTCCGTGAAAGTAATAGGCGTCACCAAAGTTCAGGCTTGAGTGCAGTGGCATGATCGTGGCTCACTGCATCTTCAAACTCCTGGGCCCAAGCGATCCTCCCACCTCAACCTCCTGAGTAGCTGGGACCATAGGCGTGTGCCACTATACCTGGCTGATTTTTTGTGTTAGTTTTTGTAGAGATAGGGTCTACCTCTGTTGCCCAGGATGGTCTTGAACTTCTGGGCTCAGGTGATCCTCTTGACTTGGTTTCCCAAAGTATTGGGATTACAGAAATTTAACCAAATTAAAAAAAAAAATCTTCCCTGAACAAGAGTAAATAAAACAAAAGCAAAAACATCTTTTCCAAAAGGGAAAGATGAAGAAACTGTCAGAGGTGGTAGGAGACTAAGGAGACATGACTAAATGCAACGTGGTATCCTAGATTGGGTCCTGAAACAGAAAAAGGACATTCGCAGAAAAACTGGTGAAAACTGAATAACATCTATAGTTTAGTTAATACGATTATACCAACGCTAATTTCTTAGTTTTAACAAAGGTACTCTGGTTATGTAAGATGTTAACATTAGAGGAAGTTGGGTGAAAGATACATGGGAATTCTTTGAACCATCTTTGCAACTTTTCTATAAATCGAAATTATTCCAAACTAAAACATTTTACAAACAAACATCTCTTTCTCTTCCAGGCTTTTAACACTTCGGTGAATGCCAATTCCATTCTTCTAAGTTGCTCAGGCATAAAATCTTCCTTCCAAATACATCCAAAATCTATCCAATTGTTACCTTTTCCACCACTATTACTCCAGTATAAGTCTCCATCATCTCCTACCTGAACAACTGCAATAGTCTCCTAACTTGTCCTGTTGCCTTCTTAGAGCCTGTTCTCCACACAGCAGCCTAATAATCTTTTTTTTTTTTTTTTTTTTTGGAGACAGGGTCTCATTCTGTCAGCCAGGCTGGAATGCAGTGGCATGATCACTACTTACTGCAGCCTTGTCCCACTGGGCTCAAGTGATCCTCCTCCTTCAGCCTCCTGAGTAGCTGGGACTACAGGCATGTGCCACCATGTCCAGCTAATTTTTATTTTTTTGCCTTTTGCAGAGATGGGGTCTTATTAAGTTGCCTAGGCGGGTCTTAAACTCCTGGGCTTAAGCAATCCTTCTGCCTTGGCCTTCCAAAGTGCTGGGATTATAGGTGTGGGCCGCCACGTCCGGCCTCTGATTATTTCAGAATGTAAGACCATGCCATCCCTCTTCCCAGGACCTTCCAGCAGCCGTTCATCTTATTCAGAACCAAATCTAAGGGCCTCACATGATCCAGCCCTTGCTATTTCTCTGAGCACCTTTCCTGCCTCCATCTTCATTGTCTGTAATACCCCTCCCCACATTTAAATTTGCTACTCCCCCTGCCTAGAATGCTCTTCTCAAGCCAGCCACAAGGTGCATTTTTGTACTTCATTCTTGTCTCTGTTCAAATGTCACCTTATCAAAGAGGTCAACCTATCTAAAACAGCACTCTTGTCACTCTGTCCTCTTAACCTTCTTAATATTTCTTTTTAGTCCTTATCACCACCTGACATATTAAATATCTAAGTGCTTTCTGCCTGTCTTCCCTACCAGAATGTAAATTCCACCAGTATTCCCTGTACCTAGAACAGTGCTTGGTATGTAGTATTTATGCAATAAATATGAATGAAGTGTTCTCAAAAATGATACGAATAATGTGAGAATGTTAAGGACCCAAGAGATTTGTTAAGCAGAATTCTAAGATGGTCTTCCAGATTCCCACTTCCCTGGTATGCATATCCTATATAATCTCCTCTCCTTGAGTATGGGTGGGCCTGACTTAATCAGGTAAGCCCTTTTAAAAGAGTTGAAAAATCAAACAGAAGTCAGAGAGATCTGAAGTGGCAGCAGTTGCTTTCCTGCAGGCCTCAAAGAAGCAAACTATCATGCTGTGTATAGAGCCATGTGGCAGGGAAACACAGGTGGCCTCTAGGAGCTGAGAGACACTTCTGGCCAACAGCCAGCAAGAAAACAGGAACCTCAGTCCCACACCTGTAAGGAACTGAATCCTACCAACAACCAGTGATTGAAAGATCTCAGATGAGATCACATCCCTAGCCAAATTTGGAGACATTGAGCAGAGAACCCAGCTAACCTGGACCCATTCATCTGACCCACAGAAACAGTGGCACAATAAATGTGTGTTATCATAAGCCACTACATTGTGATAATTTGCTATAAAGCAAGAGATAATTATTAACCAGCCTTAAGGATTCAATAACAACTCTGGTATAACATTGCTTTGCTTCACACATACACTGAGGTTCCAAGAACAACCCTGATGAACAAGCAACTAGAACGACAGGCTGGTGTAAAAACAGGCCCTGGGTAGATGGTGGCTTCAAGGGTTGGGCTGTGTCTCACATTAAACTGGAGAGGGGTTAAGATAGTGAAGGTCCATGAGGAAGAGCTAGCAGAATAAAACTATTTAGCTTGATGAAATATACACTTAGAGCAAAATGATAGATGTCTTCGAATACTGCAAAAAGCTGATTTGCAATAAGGAAGAGGGGAGCTGTGAGAAGAGAGACTAGTTGCTATGTTGCTCCAGAGGATAAAACTTGAACCAAAGGATAGGAAGGAAAGGAAAGAAGCTTTCAGTTCAATATAAGGATGAACTTTTAAACGGTCGGAACTGAGTACCTACTATGTTTCAAGAGCTGTGTGGGGCAGCAGGGTCACAAAAAAAGAAAAGAAATACACAGTGTCTGTTTTTAAGGAGTTTACAGACTAGTAGAGGACAACGAAGCATAAATAAACTATGGCTTCCGGTAGTAAGTTCTATAATAGAAGCATGCAAATATAAGAGAAAGACATAAGTGTAAGGGCTGTAAGAGATTAATGCTATCTATAGAGGTGAAAAAAGGTTCCCTGGACATGTGACTAAAGTAATTTCCACCCCCCCCCCCCCCCCGACAGGGTCTTGCTCTGTCATCCAGGCTGGAGTACGATAGCTCACTGCAGCCTTGATCTCTTGGGCTCAAGTGATCCTCTCAGCTTCCTGAGTGTCTGGGCCTACAGGCATGCGCTAACATGCCTGGCTAATTCTTTTATTTTAATTTTTTTGTAGTGACAGGGTCTTCCGATGTTGCCGAGGCTGGGCTTGAACACAGGTGTTCCTCTCACCTCAGCCTTCCCAAGTGCAGGAATTACACATGTGAGCCACCATGCCTGGCCTAAAGTAGCTTTTGAAAAATGAATAAGACTTCGCCAGCGAACTGAGTGACAAATTCGAGAGAGAGGGAGACACATGCAACAGCATGCAAAGACAAAAAAGTATAGAATCCAGGGAATAAAATGTGATAGATACTGAGGCAGCAGCAGAAGATGGGCCTGTTGAGTAAGGCAGAAGCAGTAAATGGAATTAAGCGGGGGAGTGACACAGTTTAATGTGTGTTTTAGGCCGGGCGCAGTGGCTCACGCCTGTAATCCCAGCACTTTGGGAAGCCGAGGCGGGAGGATCATCTGAGGTCAGGAGTTTGAGATCAGCCTGGCCAACATGGTGAAACCCCATTTCTACTAAAAACACAAAAATCAGCTGGGAATGGTGGCACACGGCTGTAATCCCAGCTACTTGGGAGGCTGCGGCAGGAGAATCATCTGAACCCAGGAGGGGTTGTGGTGAGCCGGGATCAGTACCACTGCACTCTAGCCTGAGCAACAGAGTGAGACTCCTCTCAAAAAAATAAATAAATAAAATATGTGTTTTATAAAGATTGCTCTCTGATGCTAGTTTAAGAGGTGAACTGAAAGAGAAATTAAGAGATGACAAGATCAGTTAGGAACTGCTGCAACTAAGCAGACCAGATGAGGCAGATGAGATGATGCAGGATTAAACCAACAAAGGCAGCAGAGGTGTTATGACCCACCACTTGTGCTTTCACAACTCAAATACAATCTTGTAACCAGACATCTACACCACCCGTATTTGCATTTTTGAAAACCCTTACAAAATTCCTCTTTTGGAAAATAAAAAGAATTATTATTTGTATTTGCTTGTGATATGCATAAAACTAAGTGGTTACCTAGAACTGGGGAGGGGAGCAGCGAGTGGTGGTAGAACTTAGGCAGACAGTGAATAAAGATTGAGACTTTTCACCGTGTAACTTTTCATACCTTCTGCTTTCTAAATTATGTGAATATATGACTTATTTAGAAATTTAAATTAAAAAAAAACACAACAAAATATTTCCACCAATCTAGGTAGGTTTACCTGTGTGCGTTTCCACATTCTTTAGCACATGGTTCTGTTTGCCTCTGGGGAAAGGAGATACTACTTGAGGATCCTGCCTCCGTACAGTGCATTTCTCTTGGTCAACCCTCCTGGAAGACTTGTTGATGACTGCCAAGTTCTCACTGTCACAGGTAGATTTTGCTGGTCTTTCATTGACGTTATCCTTTGGAATGGGGCCCATGTTGTTTCTGTGTCCTGCATTTGCATGTCGGTGGCCCTCCTGTTTGGGTGGATTTCTGCCTGGTCGTGGCCTGGCCCCCTCCACTTCCCAGGGAGGCCTTTTCTGTGGGTATCTTCTCTGCTCATTTCGTCTGGCTCCATACCCATCCAATACTCCTTTTCTAGAGGATGCATCTGAAGAGTCAGGGTGGAAAACCCCCACAGGTTTGGTATTTTCGGGTCCAGCATCCTCGGGTTTTGGAGTTGCTCGGTTACTCCATTCACATTTGAGTTTCCCCTTGACTTTTGGTCCTCTACCATAGCTGTATACAAATTGTGTTGCTTTTTTGGGTTTTGCTCCCCTGGGATCTGCACCCACAACTTCCTTCTCACTCTCAGAAGGGCTATGCTCTCTGAGGTCTGTCCCACTCTCTGATCTGGTCGAGCTCTCTAATCCAGCTGTATCTGAGGTCTGCTCAGCAAGACTCTGTGCTTTCTTGACTCTGATATGGTGCTTCTCATTCCTCAATTTCTGCCAAGGTTGACTCTGAAGGCCATGGCTCTTGGGCGATTTATTATAAGGAGAGGACTGGAAAGACGTCAGTTGACTCTTAGGTTTGCTTCCTGAAGGATGATAACTATGCTGATGAACAGCAGAGATTTCATCATAAGGGACCTGCCTGGAAAGGTGACAGGGAGGTGGTGAACTGTAATTTCTTCTACCAATCCTATTAGAGTCTAATCTCCTTTGAGTCGCACAATTTAGACCAGAGTTTTTTTTCTCCTGAGGAATGAATTCAGCAGCATCTGTATTGAATTTAAAAGTACCTAGGACATAAAAAATAGACATGCCAGTAAAGAAATTAAGCTTCATCCATGAAACTCATAGACTCTAAGCCAAATCTAAAAATCATTTTCCTTAGGACTTTGTATAAACATGCTGTTAAGTAAGACCTATGTTTCCAGTGAAGGTGGTGGGTTCAAGGTGCTTGTGGAGGACTAATCAATCATTATTTCATGTCCAAAAACCAAACACCAATAGCCAATGACAGCTAAGTGCTGTTGAGTAAAAATGCTCACCTGGGCCATAAAGTACTATGTATACACGTATTTCTTTTATTACAAAAATTTAAGGCCAGCTAATAGTTCAGGGATATCAATCATCAGGTTCCATGTGGTCTTCTTTCAAAACACTAAAGCAGCATTGTGTAATATCAAGTAAACAGGCTTTGGATTAAGCCAAAATGGGTTAAAGTCCGCCTGCCCAACTTATGGTATGAACTTAGGGATATCCCGTGCCTGCTTTTAGCCTTAGTTTCCTTGTCTATGGTAAAGGATGACAATACTTATTTCAGTGGTTACTGAGAAATTCAAATATGATTTCATAAATAGTACTTAATAAGTGTATTAGTTTTCATCTCTTTCCCCTAGGAATATATTTTGGGTTTTCCATACACAGTCTCTATGATATGGTCTACAATCCCAAAGTGGAAAAAATTAAGCATACTCCCCTTCAACCCACTCATGTTCCCCCAGAAGATGCTTCTTGGTACAGTCAATTCAGTCCCTGAAGTGCAAAGACAAAATGGTTTGCCTAAGGACATAAAATTAGTAGCAAAGTCAGAACTATGGGTAGCATACAGAATATATTATAAATTGATAAGACCTGGAAGACGTGGGTTTAAGTCACTTACCACTTATTGTGACTTTATGAAAGTTACTTAGTACCAGTTTCCTTACATGTAATGAAGACAGTAACAATCTCTACATCAAAGAGTTGCAATGAAGAGTAAAGCAAGTTAATAACACACATAAAATAGTTAAAATGGTACTCTATCATTGCTGTTAGGACTACAGAATATCTGAAACACACAGGTTTGAGCATAGGTGGGTGCGTTATAGAGGCTAAGGGTTTCAGGTTTAATAATAAGGCCTAACATTTATTAGGTATTATGTGCCAGGCACTATCTTAAGCACTTTACATGTATTAACTCATTTAATTCCTACATTCCTGATAAGAAAACTGAAGCACAGAGAGTAAGTAACTTGCCCAAGGCCACAGAAGTATTCCAAGGAAGACTTGGGATTCCAACTCAGGATGTGTATTAGAGACCATGCTCTGCTCTTACACTAACAGAGTTTGGGCAGTGGGTACCACAGACACATACAGTGAAGAATGGAATGATCATAAAGGTCATAGAGTAACCTCTCATCCAATTCAGGGTTTGTCCTGAAAGCTTTCACATAGGCAGAATTCTAAGGGGTAGGATGGACGGCCTCACAAAATGACAAGGGGATTAGACAAATGCAGAAGGTGGCAGAGGTATTCTGGAAACATAAGATAATTTAAAGATTGAAATGGTTAAATTGGACCAGTGGGTATTGTGTAGTTCTCTCTTGCTTGAAAAAGCAAGACTGGAAAGAAGGGCAGAAATAAGATCAGTAAAGATGTCTAGAGAAGCCTAGTAAAGGATGGGAAAAGAGTGCTTCATGTTAAGCAGTAATGAGTCGATGTAACTAGAGAATCCAGAGAAGGTTGCATGTATTCATATACAGGATATGTTCAACTAGACATGAGGCAGGAGGCAAAGCCCTCAGGAAAAAAACCCATAAGAGACATGAGGAAGGGAAATAGGACACATTGATAAGGAAACTGGCCATGGCAAAGATCAGAGACACCAATTTTTTTTTCACTATTTCAAGCAGCTGGAAGTTAGTAAATAGGATATCCAGTCACCATGGCTACAATACAAGTAAGTGGTACCCTGAATCCAAGATAACACAACGGCACAGTAGGTGTCCAACAGGTGGGTAGGGCAGAATAAAGAGAAATCCAACTGGCAGATTAGAAAGTCCAGAGACAAGGCTGGTATTGCAGTCTGCTCATGGACAGAAAGGTATCCTCTACACTGGGCTTCTGTTTAAAGACTCTGATGGCCGGGCGCGGTGGCTCAAGCCTGTAATCCCAGCACTTTGGGAGGCCGAGGCGGGCGGATCACGAGGTCAGGAGATCGAGACCATCCTGCCTAACACAGTGAAACCCCGTCTCTACTAAAAAATACAAAAAACTAGCCGGGTGAGGTGGTGGGCGCCTGTAGTCCTAGCTACTCGGGAGGCTGAGGCAGGAGAATGGCGTAAACCGGGGAGGCGGAGCTTGCAGTGAGCTGAGATCTGGCCACTGCACTCCAGCCTGGGCGACAGAGTGAGACTCCGTCTCAAAAAAAAAAAAAAAAAAAAAAAAAGACTCTGATGATGAGGGTGTGGGCTAAAGATGATGCTAAAATAATAACTCGGAATGGGAACTAAAGCAAAATCAAACTAAAGCACACGAAAAGGAGTAAGGAGGTCTTTGGATTAGAACATTTTGCCTCATTAGATACTTTGTGGGTTGGAGGTAATAACTTGGGCACAACACCAAAGTTCAACACGATGACTCACAACTAGGCCCCACCCAATTCTTCTTCAAACACTGAAGGGTACAGAAATGAGTCAGAAATGAGCCTGTGGATGAGACGATCGATGGATCCAGTTAGAGAATCTGGTGAAGGACTAGGTAAGGAGAATAACAAAATACCCAGCCCAAAAAGTTTTCCAACCCCAAGGAAGACTTAATATCCACAACAAGACTAGGGTATACCAATGCAGTGTGTTTTCCAACTTTTTTTTTTTTTTTTTTGAGACGGAGTCACGCTCTGTCGCCCAGGCTGGAGTGCAGTGGCGTGATCTCGGCTCACTGTAACCTCCGCCTCCAGGGTTCAAGCGATTCGCCTGCCTCAGAATCCCGAGTAGCTGGGACTACAGGCGCGTGCCACCACGCCCGGCTAATTTTTTGTATTTTTAGCAGAGACGGGGTTTCACCGTGTTAGCCAGAATGGTCTCCATCTCCTGAGTTCGTGATCTGTCCACCTCACCCTCCCAAAGTGCTGGGATTACAGGCGTGAGCCACCGCGCCCAGCCCCAACTTTTTAAACTAAGAACCATAGTAATAAATACATTTTACCTGCCACCCAGTATACAAATACACATATGGTCTTCTTGGTGCCCCAACAGCTGGTCGGGGACAGAGCTAAGATTCAAACCAATGGTTTCCAAACTCCATTCTGCAAACTGCTGCCCTGTTTTCCAGAGTGGGCTGTGACATATTTTTAAACGAAATGGAAAACAGAATATATTGCTGATTGTAAAACAAACCAACCAACCCCAATGCTTCCAGAAACTTCTGATTCGCTTTTATATTTATGTAAGTGTTCAATATTTAAGGTCGTGATGCAAAATGTTTCTTTTGGTTGCTGTCCAACAAATTTGGAAAACACTGATCTATGGAACACCCTGAGGAAATGGATGTTATATTAACGAACAAATGAGGCTGTCTCTACACACTGAGGCAACTCCAGGAGGGGGTGAGTGAGTGAACAATTATGGAATAGGTACAGTACAGGGCGGGAGCCATCACAGGAATTAACTTATCCACTCCCACCTGACAGATGAGGAGACTGAGACTGAGTCACACTAGGTTCGTAGCAGGCTGAGACTCTAAACTACTGGAGTTCGGCTCGCGCCCACGCCACCACTCCAGGCAATATGAGCACACCACACCCTACACGTCAAGAGCCCGCCACCGTCACGGGCTGTGACCTGGCCGACGCCCGCCTGTCGAAGGTCAGTGCGCCGCTGCCCCAGAAAGAGCCTGTGGGAGGGCAGTACACCCACACCGACTTGCAGCGCCGGGACAAGTCCTCTCTCCTCCTAAACCCAGTTACTAAGCTTCACCACCTAGTCCAAGAGAAGAGAGATCTCTGTACGCACGATGTGCGGGGCTTGGCCCTTCCGAGCCACTATCCCCAGCCCTAGCATGCGCTACTCTCGCGATATGAGTAGCTGGGGCCCTAGAACTTCGTCACTGACCCAATTTCCGTTCCCTAAAAGGGGCCCAGTCCCGCTAGGGCCGGGATAATACCTGAGACAGGAGGCGCCTCCGCCATCCCGTGCCGCAGAACCTAGATCGAGTCGTACAGCCAAGCGAGCACTGTCACCAGATCACGTGCTCCGGACTTCCGGCGCCGCGAGAATATTCGCATCTGTGCGTCGTGTAGATGGCCACAGAGGTTGCGCAGCCCGAATCTGTGCGGCGCGTTCGTGACGTCAGATAGACGCACCAGGTGTCGGGCGGGAGGAGGAGACTAATAGCTGGATGGAAATAGCAACAATCGCGGAGCGAGAGGTTGGCGACTTGCGTAATCATCGTGGTTTTCTTTCTTTTTTGATATAGGGTCTTGCTGCCTTACCCAGGCTTGAGTGCAGTGGTCCGATCATGGCTCACTATAGCTTCAGTCTGTAATCCCCCCGCCTCAGCCCCCGGGGTAGCTAGAACTACAGGCCGAGCCACCATGCGCGCTATTTTTAGGAGAGACGGGTTTCGTCATGTTGCCTAGGCTGGTCTCCAACTCCTGGCCTCGAGCGATCCTGCCGCTTTGGCCTCCGAAAGTGCTGGGCTTACAGGCGTGAGCCACCACTCCTGGCTCCAAACTTTTTTTTTTTTTTTTGAGACTGAGCCTCGCTCTGTTGCCCAGGCTGGAGTGAAGTGGCGCGATCTCGGCTTACTGCAAACTACGCCTCCCGGGTTCAAGCGATTCTTATGCTTCAGCCTCCCGAATAGCTGGGATTACAGGCACCCACCACCACGCCCGGCTAATTTTTGTATTTTTAGTAGAGATGGGGGTTTCATTCTATTG